GACAGACAGACGGACATCGTTAAATCGACTTAGAATTTTATGCTGATCATGAATATATATATATATATATACTTTATGGGGTCTACGACGATTATTTAGGGATGTTACAAACGGAATGATAAAATTAATATACCCTCCGTTTCAAGGTGGAGGGTATAAAAATTAATAATAGCTCACACCTCAATCATTTGACCTTACACCAACAAATCCAAATTAAGTACACCCTAGTAGTGACTAAGAATTACTAGCATTTATAACTGTTTTTGGAGTGCCCACGAATTCATATTACAAAACCATTATGAAAATAATAATGGTATAAACAAATATGGGAATTAATTGCGAATATATATTTTTTTTTGGTAGGGAGGGACAATATGACGAACAATTGTTCTTTAAAATATTTGAGACTAAATTAAGCAATGTCACGTTTAAGTGCGCCATAAAAGTTATTAATAACGATGTTGGAATTATGTAGGGAAGTCAATAACATTGAAGCGAACCTAAAAATGGACAGTCAGTTAAAATATTTAAGTCTTGGCATACAAATTCCAAATGACGCATTCACATAATGACCGGTTTGAGGAATGTAAATATCGTATGGAAGATTGCAGTTACTGTGTCTCTACTGAGATCCGTTATAAAGTTCCGTTTAAAACCCTCCACCTTGAAAAGGAGGGTATATTAACTATATCATTTCGTTAACATCAAATTCCATTCAGACATGCTAGATATCAATATTTTCATCAACATAAGATCTCTTATAAAGATGGTAGATATCGGACCATTCCTTCTGGTACCTCCCCCACAAAGGTTTAATGTTTTGAATAACCAAAATTATTATAAAATCATAAAAAAGCTTTCGGTTCTCCTTATATTTCACAGCATCTCAATATTTTTACTAACATAACATCAACGGAGAAGTTGGGATACCTCCCCTACAAAGTGTTCCAATCCACGATGGAGGATTGTAGTTACTGTGTCTCTTCTGAATTCCGTTATATCAATTTTTTAAACCCTCCACCTTAAAAAGGAGGGTATATTAACTTTGTCACTCCGTTTTCAGCACCTCTAAATATTCATTATAGACCCCAATAAGTATATCTATCCATGATCAACATAAAATTCAAAGCCTAAGTAATGGTTGGTAATGAGAATGCTGTCATTCCAAAGCCACTCGTCCGACAGCTGTTGAAATTATTCCAGCGATAGCTCATTATATTGTTTTTAAGCGTAGAAAAGCATTTTGATGAGAATTTTCCAGAAAAAGTTATTTGTGATGAAATTCAAGCGCGATAGTGTGATTTCTTTATATTTGGCTGGAAAACCACAAGTGGCTATCGTTAGAGCACTCCAGCATTTAAATGTGAGTAAATATTTTGTGTCTCGTAGCATCCCTCGTTACAGTGAGACTGGTAGCGTTGCCCAACATCAGCAGAAATTATTCGAAAAGTAAAGAAGCGATTTGATCGAATCCCCCGTCGCAGTGGCCAAAAAATGGTTCGTGAGCTGAACATATCGCAATATTTCATTTGGCAAATATTGAAAAATGAGCTCGGGGTAAAGCCATTGAAATTCCAAATGGTTCAAGAACGTACACCCCAACGCAAAGAAAATAGACCTAAAAGAGCTAAAGAGTTGCTGGTATTAGTTTTCTCCGATGAGAAAACATTCGTTACCCGCAGTTTGTAAACAAACAAAATGATCGTGTTTACTTGCCAAAGAGGTCAGCTGAAAAGGTGTGTCGGTTGGCCACCAGAAGTCAAGCGCCGGCCATGGTGGGCCGCTATAACAGCCGATGGTCGCTCTCCGCTCGTATTAATCGACCGTGGTATCAAAATAAATGCCGAATATTATCGCGAAAATATTCTGGAGGGTGTATTAAAGCCTTGGCTTTAATACAAAAAACATTTCGACAGCACATTCCAACAGGACTTAGCACCATTGCAGTGAGCACACCCAAGAATGGTTACAAAATGAGGTTCCTCGACTAGTTTCCAGCGCACAATGGCCACCAAAATCTCCGGATACCAATCCGTTGGACTATTGTGTCTTGAGTATTTTGGAAAGCAAAGATGACAATAAAAAATATCAAAGTGTCGATCACCTCAAGCAAGCGCTTCGCCGGGAATGGGCCAAAATCCAGCAGAGCAACATTCGGTCAGCGATGTGACGGTTTCATTAGCCGTTTTGAAGGCCATAAGAAGACAGTCAAAAAACATCGGAATGGTGGCGCAAAAGTCAACTTCCGATGTTTTTTGTTTGTAACAAAGGCAATAGGGACCAATCGTAAAATTTATATCATTTTCTTATAGGAGGATTACTTTTGAGCCACCTTGCATTACGATGTATTAAGTTTGAACCAAATCGGATACTCCCTTAAAGAGTTATCGCGCGCACCTGCCAGGCAGACGGACGGACATACTGACGGACCTACCTAGATCGACTCCTGAAATCCAGTATTTGTACCAATGCATGATCCGATGTAAAGATGGGATTAATGGGTGGGGGAGGTACCAGTAGCAGTGCACCGATATAGCCCATCTCCGAAATCGATCTAAGTTTGACAAAAATATTACGGTGTACCAAGTTTGAACCAAATCCGATACTCCCATCGACATACAGACGGACGGACGAACATCGCTAGATCGACTCCAAATGTCCTGAAACAGATTTGGTCCAAAGACACCTAGGGTCTAAAAACGTTATTTCCCATATGCACCCATCCCATCTCCCATCCCCATCTCCAGTCATATTGCTAAGGGTGTAAAAAAACGTTAACAAAAGTTCGAATTTTAAAACCCTACACCTACCCTTGGACAAATCCGTGGAAAATGCAGTAAAAGTCATGAAATACCGAATATCGAGAGGTATGGGGGCTATACAAAAACATGGACCTTTACATACAATGTTTCACCGCCGATGCTAGAACCCATTACGACTTACAAAGACCAATTTTTAGACCAAAACAAATGGCGAAAATCATCCGAATACCCAATATCGAGACGTATTGTTATATGGCGGATATACCAAAACTTTGGCCTATATATCTCATTTTCAATACCAGACGAACATCGCTAAATCACCTTATAATTTTATTCTGATCAGCAATATACTTTTTGGGACAATCGACGAATATTTCGTTGCACACGGAAAAACAAATTTTATATACCTTCCATACAACGTGTGGTGGAGGGTATAAAAATCGGAAAGATTTTATTAAACAAGAGTTAAGTTCACTTTATATATATTGCTGACCACCAGACTATAGGAGCATTTTTCTAAACCAGTTACGAAAGTCTTAAAGTCGGACGCGCAGACTTTATGATACCCTACACCACTTTGCTAATTTAGTAGAGTTCCGCATAAAAATTAAAAGTCTGTATCAGAGAATTCAATCATACACGCTATGATTATAATTATAATTTAAAGTTCAACGGACTAAATATGCCGAAGCATTTATATCTTTTAAATTCGGACTTGTATTGCCTATTTGGTGCACAATTAATTTGAAATCGGGAGCTATATACAAATCGGAACTGCTCTCGATAAAATTTGGCAAAGATATTTCTGAGCTGTATTTGATATATTTCCTACGAAGAGCATATTACGGCTGCGGGTAACAAATATAACAAATCGGATGAACAGTATATATGGGAGCTATAGCTATATTTGAATCGATCTTCACCAAATTTGACAGTCTAGCTTCTAGACTCAATTCGGTCGTAAGTACCGAATTCCATTCCATTTGGACAAATATTAGACGTTTGATGCACAATAAAAGGTAAATCGGACGAAGTTATACATGGGATCTATATCCAAATCTGAACCGATCTGGATAAAATTTAGCAAAGGTATTTCCGAGCTGTATTTGATATATTTGCCCAAATATTGTTGTTACAGAGTGCATATTACGGCTGCGGAGGACAAAAATAACAAATCAGATGAACAATATATTGGGGAGCTATAGCTATATCTAAAACGATTTCGATCAAATTTGGCATACTTATTTTCTAGCCTAATTTGGTTGTATTTGCAAAATTTCATACTATTCGGACTGATATTACACGCTTGGTGCACAATATAAAGCAAATCGGACGAAGATATATATGGGAGCTAGATATAATTTCTGACCGATTATCTCCAATTTCAATAGGGTTCGTCCTTGGGTCAAACAAATTTTTTATGCAAAATTTCATCTGAATGAAAAAATACATAGACAGACAGACGGAGGGACGGACATGCATAAATCGACTAAGAATGTGATTCTATGCAGATCATCAAAAGAAACTATGGGTCTATCTCGTTTCATTTTGCCTGTTACAAACAAATGCACAAATACATAATACCCTGACCACCTTGTGGTGTAGGGTATAATAAGTCTAATTACACTTCTGTAGAGCCAGTGAGTCACTTTAAGTCCTTATCTTGAACCTATTATAATTTTACAGATTGACCGGCATTTGTGAACTGAATGGAACACAATTGGGCATTTCCTGCTCGTAGTTGGCCAAATACAATTTCACAAAACGTATTTCATATTTAGTTGTTTCTGGCATCACATCGCTCTCGAAGGACCAAGTGTAGTCAATACCGTTAACAATTCAATTTAGAATTGCAAAATAATCTGAAGGAACAACTCTAGTTTAGTAAAAACTCTTAGATTTTTTTCGAATTTTTTTTCCAGACGTAGGTATTTTTACCCTGGGTCCGGGTTCAAGACCCGGATCCACTTACCCGATGTAGACAATATATGTATCGTTTGAAAGTAAATATCCAACAAGTGGTCAAATGATGGAGTAAGTGGTCATGGTTCGGAAGTTCAACAAAAATCGATGAGTTTTTACTAAACTAGAGTTAAGCTAATGTGAATAACACAACAATTTCCTCGAGTGTAATAAGCCTTCCTTTTTTGTAGAAAAAATGTTCTGTCTAGTCTTGCTGTCTTTTTGTGTATTGTCTATTTTATTTATTGAATTATTTAAACAATTTACACTCATTCACCTTTATGCTGCTGTTATTATTTTCACATATGGCATAGGTATGCAATGACAATTGAGTGTTACGGGGGAGATGCGGGAGATTTGTCACTCTCTTGGTCGGCTAAATACTGGCGCGCTCTTTGCAAAAAGAAAACGACAAAAACTACACGCGAAAAAATCACAAATTTCACCCAATATTTTTTTAAGATTTTATTTAGAACAAAGAATTTAAATATTTTTTTTTTCACAATTTTGAAATCACTTGAATTTTTGTATTTGATTTGGACAAAATTTACACCAAAAAAGTATTAAAATGGCACCAAGAAAACACTGTAATTTCGTTTACTCTGCTTTTGCTCTTAACATTGGCAACTCTCTTGCACTCTCTTCTCTCTTTTTTTTTTTTTTGTAATTTAGCATAAAACTCCACTTGATTGACGGATGGCTTATGTATTTCTTATTTATTTATTTATTATTTTTTCTTCTTCCTCTACTTCTTTTATTGCTTCTTCAAACTTCTTTTATTTCGATTTTATTGGGGGATCGGATATTTCGTGGGGGAAATAGAATATTTTTTCTTGTTTTTTTTTCTTGTTTTGTTGTTGTAGTTGTTGGTTTCTAGTTGCGGCAACGAACACACACAACGCGTCAAATAAGAAAAATCTGTAGTTGTTGTTGGAGTTTTTGTTTTTGTTGGTTACTGGATTACGAAAGGCAATGTAACGCGGACATGAAACGACCGGTCGCGACAAACACGAATGCGGCGAGTTTCAATAGAGGAAACGTAGGGAAATAACAAAAATGCTGCCAAATAAAGTGCGGCTTCTCTGGTGCTGCTTCTTCTTTTTTCTGATTTTTTTTAACTAATTATCGGTGGATTTTAGGAAAACATTAAACAACAGCGGCGGCGTGGTTTGGCTTTTTTATATTTGCTTTTGTTTTTTCTTTCTCTATATTTTGCACTTGATGTTTACATTGACACAAGCCCACACATACAATCACAAGCAACTATATTTTTGAGTGGGGGCAATGAATTTTGCAATTTTCTAATATTTTTTCAGAATTTTATGTAAATTTTTAAATTCTTTACTATCAGCTTTTTGCAATTTTAAATTTTTTGCGACACTTCAAATTTTAAATAATATTGAAACACTTTTTTATTTAATTCTCCAAAAACTCCACAATTTTTTTTCTTGGTTTTTATTTTGTGAAACGAGACGTTCGTCGTCTTTACCCTCTCACTTGTAATTCTTCCCAACACATTTATCTACAACAAACACAACGTCGTAGTGAGGATGATGATGAAGATGATGTTGCTGCTGCTGTTGTTGTTGTTGCTAGTTATTCGAGTACACATACAAAATACTTTTGAAAACCAAACAGGCAGACCGACCGACAGACAGACAGACAGCCAGAAAAAATACTGTATTCTCCTTTTCGTTTCGTGTTTTTGTTTTCTTCTGTTTCTTGTGTGGGTATGCGCCCCGTGCGTGTGTGTGTTTTATGATGATGGCTGTATGTTTTTTTTTTTTTCTTATTCTTCTTCTTTCTTGTTTTGAAATTCAACCCGCTTTCGTTCTTCCGTTAAAAAGATTAACTGACGTTCCGTACGACTCAACTTGTTCGCAAGCACTCACTTTATGGACTAGCACTCATTGTTTGCGCCACACATTATTCTGGCTTGCTGGCTGGCTGGATGGATGGGCTGCTCATTGGGTGTGTGTGCGAGTTTGTGGAGTTTATTTATGTGGGGGTTTAAAGGAGAGCCAGAGTGTATTGTGTTTGAGTACCATTTCATGCTCATTACTTGGCTTTGTTTATTTCTTGCTGTTGTTGGGTATTGGATTCCAGTTCTCTCTCCCTCTCACTCAATGCAAATTCCACATGCAGTGTTTGCTTTGTGCCACAAATTGTGGATACTGGAAAAGAGAGTTACTCAACTTTCTCTCTATATCTCTCTCATTTAATGGGGGTGATGATAACGCAGGAAAATCACATGGAGAGAGTAAGTGATACAAGAGATTTAAAACTGGTTTAAGAGTCGCATTGTTTATAAAGAGTACAGTTTATTTTGTTATTGGTTTGACGCAATGGGAAATGTATACAAAATAAGGTTTTTGTTTTAAACCATAATAAAAAGGTTGGGGAAAGGAATTTAAAACATATTACAGTGGGGTGCAAAAGTATGAAGCACAGTGTTTTTGTTTTCTTTTTTTATAGAACAGGGACGATGAGGTATTTTGAGTTTTTTTCTATTATTAAATAAAATTGTATTATTTGCCATCTCCTTAAAGTTTCAAACCTGGTTAAAAAGTATCAGTCGGTCTTGGTGACTGATGAACACCCTCTGTCGGTTTATTTAAATATATTTGGAGTTGCGTTCGAATTTTTCAAACCTTGAATAATTTTTGGAGGTGAGAGAGAGGTCTAATATTGTTTATTTCGTAGTAATAAATCAAAATTTTAACCTATACTGGAGAGGTTCGAGAAGGAGTAGACCGATAAATTCCATATTCACATCAGATCGCTGGTTGATGTTGATGTTTGAAAAGAATAGAAGACTTGTTTCGTAAGTTTTTAGATATATAGGTATTCAAAAATTGAGACACTTGCGTTAGTAAAAAATATCGAAATGCATGAAATTTAAAGAGAATCTGGAACTAATTTCGGCTTTTGTGAGCAATTTGGAAAAATAATCTTTTGAAAATACCCGTTTGTCGATTCTTGGGAAAAATATTCTTTTGAAACATCCACGTTTCCCCGTCCTTAGGAAAAATATCCTTTTGAAAAATTCACGTTTCCTGGTCCTTAGGAAAAAATATCCTTAAAAAATCCACATTTGTTGGTGCCTTGGAAAAACATTATTTTGAAAAATAGACGTCCATTGGTCCTTAGGAAAAAATCCACGTTTGTTGATCCTTGAGAAAAATATTCTTTAAAAAATCCCCGTTTGTTGATTCTTGGGAAAATATTCTTTGAAATATTCACGTTTATTGATCCTTGGGAAAAATTTTATTTTAAAAAAATCACATTTAAAAAAATGGGAAAAAATATTCTTTATAATATCCACATTTGTTGGTCCCTTGGAAAACGTTATTTTGAAAAATAGACGTCCATCGGTCCTTAGGGAAAAATCCTTGAAAAATCCACGTTTGTTGATCCTTGAGAAAAATAATCTTTAAAAAAATCCCCGTTTGTTGATTCTTGGGAAAATATCCTTTAAAAAATTCACGTTTATTGATCCTTGGGAAAATATTATTTAAAAAGATCCACATTTGTTGGTCCCTTGGAAAAACATTATTTTGAAAAATCGACGTTCATTGGACCTTAGGAAAAATCCTTGAAAAATCCACGTTTGTTGATCCTTGAGAGAAATATTCTTAAAAAATCCCCGTCTGCTGATTCTTTCGAAAATATCCTTTAAAAAATTCACATTTATTGATCTTTGGGAAAAATATTCTTTAAACATCCCCGTTTTTTTGGTCCTTTGGAAAAATATTCTTTAAAAATTCCACGTTTGTTGGTCCTTGGGAAAAACGTTCTTTACAAAATCCACGTTTGTTTATCCTTGGAAAAATATCCTTAAAAAATCCACGTTTGTTGATCCGTGGTTAAATATTCTTTAAAAAATCCACGTTTGTTAGTCCTTGAGAAAAAATTTTCTTTAAAAAATTCACTTCTGTTGGTCCTTGGGAAAATATTCCTTAAAATATCCACGTTTGTTGGTCCTTGAGGAAAACATTTTTTTAAAAAGTTCACGTCTGTTAGTCCTTTGGAAAAACGTTCTTTACAAAATCCACGTTTGTTGATCCTTGGGAAAAAATATTCTTTAAAAAATCCACATTTGTTGGTCCTTTGGAAAAACATTATTTTAAAAAATCGACGTTCATTGGACCTTGGGAAAAATATTCTCACCAAATGCTCATTATTCGGAAGTTGTAATTTTACTCTCGCTCTCTCCCTCCCCCACATATCTTGTCTTGATAGAAAACATTTCACATTTTTAGACGCTGTTTTATTGGACCTTCCTTGGTCATGGGTGAACAGAATAAGACATTTTACATTCCTCTAATGAGAAATTGTCATTTGTTTCAAATATTCTCTCCTCAAATAAATCTTTTCCCATTTCCCCTTACCAATATCTCCTGCCTCAATTAAAAACATATAATGATATTCAAACATTTTATGGAATCCATTAACGAACCTTTATAGCTTGAATGCACCCGGAGCCGTGCGATTTCCCATGGCCAAATTAAAACTCAACATTGCCAAATTTTCAGCTTGCAAATAGGTCTCATCGTCGAAATGACACAAAAATTTCGGAAAACCCAGGGGACTGAAATCGGGTTCAGTGAAATTCCATTGGGGTATGTTGATGATGAATTTCCTTGGCTGGCGGTTAACAATGTTTGAAGTGGTGGATTCATGAAATTGTTGTTGTTGCTGCTCCAAATAGTTGCCATAAGAAATGGGGGAATGGGAGCAGTGATCATTCCCTTTATGTTCTTCCAAAACCACAACATCGGCTTCGTCATAGGGGGTGGTGTTGAGAGACTTCTCAAAGGCGGAACTGCAACTGTTGGGTGTGGATTCACAGATGCAGACTTCTTCTTCCACTTCTTTGGTTATGAAATTTGGTTCAGACGGAATTTCAAGGGTTTGGATTGGAGAATCCTGATTGCCCATTGGGTTGCCCTCAAAATTGAAGAGAGTTTGAAAAATTGTATTTTGATTGTCCATTTCATGATCAATACGAGTGGAATCATTTGGATTTCCCTTGGTAGCCAGTGAACATTTCAGCAGAGCCTCGGTAAGTTTTTGTTGGGCACTTGGTCCCTCACTAGCAGCGGTTCGAATATTAACTAAATTCGCTGTACCCCCAGCCCCAAAGACAACATCTGAGTATAAGGTCCCGGGACGGCAAGCCGAATCCATAGTTTTGTTGCTATAGGTTTCGTCCACCTTTTCCGACACACAATTGATTTTTAACCAATTGGGGGAATGTTTTCGCGAAACTTTGCTTTTCTTGTTGGCAAAGGCCGCAGATCTGTCGGATCGTTTCCAGCTGGCTGATTTGACTTTATTGGTGCTGGGGGAAAAGATTTCCCTAATGGGTGCGGGACCTCTGCCATCACCCTTCGAAGTTTGAGGCAAATCATTTGTAATAGAATTTTTGGATAAAGGCTTCAATAGATCTGTCAAGGCCTTTTTGGGTTTTGGCTTGCGTCTTTTATCCGATTTCTTGTGGGATTTCCTCTGTGAGCCATTCTGATTGGAATGGGATTGAGTCACAGATTGTGTCGTGGAGGGAGGCTGATTTATATTGGAATTTTGTTGGTTTTTGCTAAAATTCGAAGGAAAAATAATTTTTGAAGAAATGGATCTAATTTTTCAACCAATTTTTGACTTACTTGGTATTCAGCAACCCACTGACCATTTTGCTAAGGAACATTGGGACAATTTTTCAACTAAGAATTTCACCACCTAAGAGATTTTGATTCGGACAAAATTTTCTGAACAAATGTTAGTTTCCTTTTTGGAATTAATATTTATTCAAATAATTCGGAAAGGCTAATGGCTCTGCTTGAAGAAAAATATTTTCATTAATTTTTTTGATTTTGAAAAAAACAAAACGTCAGAAGAATTTTTAATTTAACGCAGTCATCTATGTTCTATTCAAAAATTCCTTTAACAGGTTTAAATAAACAGGCTACCTCAAATTTACGAATTTATGGCCACAATTCCAATGGCCATAACTCCTTAAGTATTCACTTTTCGGCGTTTTTGGCTAATATTTGTGATCACTTTTCTAGGCATGAATTATTGAATATTTTAAAATGGCCATAACTCCTTAAATATTGACTTTTCGTCGATTTCAGCTATTATTTGTGATCACTTTTCTAGGCGTGAATTATTGAATGTTTTAAAATGGCCATAACTCCTTAAATATTCACTTTTCGGCGTTTTGAGCTATTATTTGTGATCACTTTTCTAGGCATGAATTATTGAATATTTTAAAATGGCCATAACTCCTTAAATATTGAGTTTTCGGCGTTTTTAGCTATTATTTGTGATCACTTTTCTAGGCATGAGTTATTGAATATTTTAAAATGGCCATAACTCCTTAAATATTGAGTTTTCGGCGTTTTTAGCTATTATTTGTGATCACTTTTTAAAGCTTGAATTATTGAATACTTTAAAATGGCCATAACTCCTTAAATATTCACTTTTCGCCATTTTTAGCTATTATTTGTGATCACTTTTCTAGGCATGAATTATTGAATATTTTAAAGTGGCCATAACTCCTTAAATATTCACTTTTCGGCGTTTTTAGCTATTATTTGTGATCACTTTTCTAGGCATGAATTATTGAATATTTTAAAATGGCCATAACTCCTTAAATATTGAGTTTTCGGCGTTTTTAGCTATTATTTGTGATCACTTTTTAAAGCTTGAATTATTGAATACTTTAAAATGGCCATAACTCCTTAAATATTGAGTTTTCGGCGATTTTAGCTATTATTTGTGATCATTTTTCTAGGCATGAGTTGCTGAATATTTTAGAATGGCCATAACTCCTTAAATATTCACATTTCGGCGTTTTGAGCTATTATTTGTGATCACTTTTCTAGGCATGAATTATTGAATATTTTAAAATGGCCATAACTCCTTAAATATTCACATTTCGGCGTTTTGAGCTATTATTTGTGATCACTTTTATAGGCATGAATTATTGAATATTTTAGAATGGCCATAACTCCTTAAATATTCACATTTCGGCGTTTTGAGCTATTATTTGTGATCACTTTTATAGGCATGAATTATTGAATATTTTAAAATGGCCATAACTCCTTAAATATTCACATTTCGGCTTTTTGAGCTATTATTTGTGATCACTTTTATAGGCATGAATTATTGAATATTTTAAAATGGCCATAACTCCTTAAATATTCACATTTCGGCGTTTTGAGCTATTATTTGTGATCACTTTTATAGGCATGAATTATTGAATATTTTAAAATGGCCATAACTCCTTAAATATTCACATTTCGGCGTTTTGAGCTATTATTTGTGATCACTTTTATAGGCATGAATTATTGAATATTTTAAAATGGCCATAACTCCTTAAATATTCACATTTCGGCGTTTTGAGCTATTATTTGTGATCACTTTTCTAGGCATGAATTATTGAATATTTTAAAATGGCCATAACTCCTTAAATATTCACATTTCGGCGTTTTGAGCTATTATTTGTGATCACTTTTCTAGGCATGAATTATTGAATATTTTAAAATGGCCATAACTCCTTAAATATTCACATTTCGGCTTTTTGAGCTATTATTTGTGATCACTTTTATAGGCATGAATTATTGAATATTTTAAAATGGCCATAACTCCTTAAATATTCACATTTCGGCGTTTTGAGCTATTATTTGTGATCACTTTTATAGGCATGAATTATTGAATATTTTAAAATGGCCATAACTCCTTAAATATTCACATTTCGGCGTTTTGAGCTATTATTTGTGATCACTTTTCTAGGCATGAATTATTGAATATTTTAAAATGGCCATAACTCCTTAAATATTCACATTTCGGCGTTTTGAGCTATTATTTGTGATCACTTTTATAGGCATGAATTATTGAATATTTTAGAATGGCCATAACTCCTTAAATATTCACATTTCGGCGTTTTGAGCTATTATTTGTGATCACTTTTATAGGCATGAATTATTGAATATTTTAAAATGGCCATAACTCCTTAAATATTCACATTTCGGCGTTTTGAGCTATTATTTGTGATCACTTTTATAGGCATGAATTATTGAATATTTTAAAATGGCCATAACTCCTTAAATATTCACATTTCGGCATTTTGAGCTATTATTTGTGATCACTTTTATAGGCATGAATTATTGAATATTTTAAAATGGCCATAACTCCTTAAATATTCACATTTCGGCTTTTTGAGCTATTATTTGTGATCACTTTTATAGGCATGAATTATTGAATATTTTAAAATGGCCATAACTCCTTAAATATTCACATTTCGGCGTTTTGAGCTATTATTTGTGATCACTTTTATAGGCATGAATTATTGAATATTTTAAAATGGCCATAACTCCTTAAATATTCACATTTCGGCGTTTTGAGCTATTATTTGTGATCACTTTTATAGGCATGAATTATTGAATATTTTAAAATGGCCATAACTCCTTAAATATTCACATTTCGGCGTTTTGAGCTATTATTTGTGATCACTTTTCTAGGCATGAATTATTGAATATTTTAAAATGGCCATAACTCCTTAAATATTCACATTTCGGCGTTTTGAGCTATTATTTGTGATCACTTTTATAGGCATGAATTATTGAATATTTTAAAATGGCCATAACTCCTTAAATATTCACATTTCGGCGTTTTGAGCTATTATTTGTGATCACTTTTATAGGCATGAATTATTGAATATTTTAAAATGGCCATAACTCCTTAAATATTCACATTTCGGCGTTTTGAGCTATTATTTGTGATCACTTTTATAGGCATGAATTATTGAATATTTTAAAATGGCCATAACTCCTTAAATATTCACATTTCGGCGTTTTGAGCTATTATTTGTGATCACTTTTCTAGGCATGAATTATTGAATATTTTAAAATGGCCATAACTCCTTAAATATTCACATTTCGGCTTTTTGAGCTATTATTTGTGATCACTTTTATAGGCATGAATTATTGAATATTTTAAAATGGCCATAACTCCTTAAATATTCACATTTCGGCGTTTTGAGCTATTATTTGTGATCACTTTTATAGGCATGAATTATTGAATATTTTAAAATGGCCATAACTCCTTAAATATTCACATTTCGGCTTTTTGAGCTATTATTTGTGATCACTTTTATAGGCATGAATTATTGAATATTTTAAAATGGCCATAACTCCTTAAATATTCACATTTCGGCGTTTTGAGCTATTATTTGTGATCACTTTTATAGGCATGAATTATTGAATATTTTAAAATGGCCATAACTCCTTAAATATTCACATTTCGGCGTTTTGAGCTATTATTTGTGATCACTTTTATAGGCATGAATTATTGAATATTTTAAAATGGCCATAACTCCTTAAATATTCACATTTCGGCGTTTTGAGCTATTATTTGTGATCACTTTTATAGGCATGAATTATTGAATATTTTAAAATGGCCATAACTCCTTAAATATTCACATTTCGGCGTTTTGAGCTATTATTTGTGATCACTTTTATAGGCATGAATTATTGAATATTTTAAAATGGCCATAACTCCTTAAATATTCACATTTCGGCGTTTTGAGCTATTATTTGTGATCACTTTTCTAGGCATGAATTATTGAATATTTTAAAATGGCCATAACTCCTTAAATATTCACATTTCGGCGTTTTGAGCTATTATTTGTGATCACTTTTATAGGCATGAATTATTGAATATTTTAAAATGGCCATAACTCCTTAAATATTCACATTTCGGCGTTTTGAGCTATTATTTGTGATCACTTTTATAGGCATGAATTATTGAATATTTTAAAATGGCCATAACTCCTTAAATATTCACATTTCGGCGTTTTGAGCTATTATTTGTGATCACTTTTATAGGCATGAATTATTGAATATTTTAAAATGGCCATAACTCCTTAAATATTCACATTTCGGCGTTTTGAGCTATTATTTGTGATCACTTTTCTAGGCATGAATTATTGAATATTTTAAAATGGCCATAACTCCTTAAATATTCACATTTCGGCTTTTTGAGCTATTATTTGTGATCACTTTTATAGGCATGAATTATTGAATATTTTAAAATGGCCATAACTCCTTAAATATTCACATTTCGGCGTTTTGAGCTATTATTTGTGATCACTTTTATAGGCATGAATTATTGAATATTTTAAAATGGCCATAACTCCTTAAATATTCACATTTCGGCGTTTTGAGCTATTATTTGTGATCACTTTTATAGGCATGAATTATTGAATATTTTAAAATGGCCATAACTCCTTAAATATTCACATTTCGGCGTTTTGAGCTATTATTTGTGATCACTTTTATAGGCATGAATTATTGAATATTTTAAAATGGCCATAACTCCTTAAATATTCACATTTCGGCGTTTTGAGCTATTATTTGTGATCACTTTTCTAGGCATAATTTATTGAATATTTTAAAATGGCCATAACTCACTAAATATTGAGTTTTCGGCCTTTTTAGCTATTATTTGTGATCACTTTTCTAGGCATGAGTTATTGAATATTTTAAAATGGCCATAACTCTCTAAATATTGAGTTTTCGGCGTTTTTAGCTATAATTTGTGATCACTTTTCTAGGCATGAATTGTTGAATATTTTAAAATGACCATAACTCCTTAAATATTGAGTTTTCGGCGTTTTTAGCTATTATTTGTGATCACTTTTCTTGGCATGAATTATTGAATATTTTAAAATGGCCATAACTCCTTAAATATTGAGTTTTCGGCGTTTTTAGCTATTATTTGTGATCACTTTTCTAGGCCTGAGTTATTGAATATTTTAAAATGGCCATAACTCCTTAAATATTGAGTTTTCGGCGTTTTTAGCTATTATTTGTGATCACTTTTCTAGGCATGAATTCTTGAATATTTTAAAATGGCCATAACTCCTTAAATATTCACATTTCGGCGTTTTGAGCTATTATTTGTGATCACTTTTCTAGGCATGAATTATTGAATATTTTAAAATGGCCATAACTCCTTAAATATCAACTTTTAGACGTTTTTAGTTATTATTTGTGATTACTTTTCTTGAATTATTGAATATTTTAAAATGGCCATAACTCCTTAAATATTCACATTTAGGCGTTTTGAGCTATTATTTGTGATCACTTTTCTAGGCATGAATTATTGAATATTTTAAAATGGCCATAACTCCTTAAATATCAACTTTTAGACGTTTTTAGTTATTATTTGTGATTACTTTTCTAGGCATAATTTATTGAATATTTTAAAATGGCCATAACTCCTTAAATATCAACTTTTAGACGTTTTTAGCTATTATTTGTGATCACTTTTCTAGGCATAATTTATTGAATATTTTAAAATGGCCATAACTCACTAAATATTGAGTTTTCGGCCTTTTTAGCTATTATTTGTGATCACTTTTCTAGGCATGAGTTATTGAATATTTTAAAATGGCCATAACTCTCTAAATATTGAGTTTTCGGCGTTTTTAGCTATAATTTGTGATCACTTTTCTAGGCATGAATTATTGAATATTTTAAAATGGCCATAACTCTCTAAATATTGAGTTTTCGGCGTTTTTAGCTATTATTTGTGATCACTTTTCAAGGAATGAATTATTGAATATTTTAAAATGGTCATAACTCCTTAAATATTGAGTTTTCGGCGTTTTTAGCTATTATTTGTGATCACTTTTCAAGGAATGAATTATTGAATATTTTAAAATGGCCATGACTCCTTAAATATTGAGTTTTCGGCGGTTTTAGCTATTATTTGTGATCACTTTTCTAGGAATGAATTATTGAATATTTTAAAATGGCCATAACTCCTTAAATATTGAGTTTTCGGCGTTTTTAGCTATTATTTGTGATCACTTTTCTGGGCATGAATTATTGAATATTTTAAAATGGCCATAACTCCTTAAATATTCACTTTTCGGCGTTTTTAACTATTATTTGTGATCACTTTTCTAGGCATGAATTATTGAATATTTTAAAATGGCCATAACTCCTTAAATATTTAGTTTTCGGCGTTTTTTGCTATTACTTGTGATCACTTTTCTAGGCATGAATTGTTGAATATTTTAAAATGGCCATAACTCCTTAAATATTCACATTTAGGCGTTTTGAGCTATTATTTGTGATCACTTTTCTAGGCATGAATTATTGAATATTTTAAAATGGCCATAACTCCTTAAATATCAACTTTTAGACGTTTTTAGTTATTATTTGTGATTACTTTTCAAGGAATGAATTATTGAATATTTTAAAATGGCCATAACTCCTTAAATATTCACTTTTAGGCGGTTTTAGCTATTATTTGTGATCACTTTTCTAGGCATAATTTATTGAATATTTTAAAATGGCCATAACTCCTTAAATATTCACTTTTCGGCGTTTTTAACTATTATTTGTGATCACTTTTCTAGGCATGAATTATTGAATATTTTAAAATGGCCATAACTCCTTAAATATTTAGTTTTCGGCGTTTTTTGCTATTATTTGTGATCACTTTTCTAGGCCTGAGTTATTGAATATTTTAAAATGGCCATAACTCCTTAAATATTCACATTTAGGCGTTTTGAGCTATTATTTGTGATCACTTTTCTAGGCATGAATTATTGAATATTTTAAAATGGCCATAACTCCTTAAATATCAACTTTTAGACGTTTTTAGTTATTATTTGTGATTACTTTTCTTGAATTATTGAATATTTTAAAATGGCCATAACTCCTTAAATATTCACTTTTAGGCGGTTTTAGCTATTATTTGTGATCACTTTTCTAGGCATAATTTATTGAATATTTTAAAATGGCCATAACTCACTAAATATTGAGTTTTCGGCCTTTTTAGCTATTATTTGTGATCACTTTTCTAGGCATGAGTTATTGAATATTTTAAAATGGCCATAACTCTCTAAATATTGAGTTTTCGGCGTTTTTAGCTATAATTTGTGATCACTTTTCTAGGCATGAATTATTGAATATTTTAAAATGGCCATAACTCCTTAAATATTGAGTTTTCGGCGTTTTTAGCTATTATTTGAGATCATTTTTCTAGGCATGAATTATTGAATATTTTAAAATGGCCATAACTCCTAAAATATTGAGTTTTCGGCGTTTTACTATTATTTGAGATCACTTTTCTAGGCATGAATTATTGAATATTAAAATGGCCATAACTAAATATTTTAAAATGGAATATTTATTTGCAATATCATTCTCCTATTTAAGAATTCGAAATATATTGAAGAGTATTTAATGTTGGGAAATGGTTTACAGTGTTGCAGTTTTCAGGACAAAGCATGGGGCAAGCCCATTTTTTTTCCTTCATAAGTACGACAAAGTAAACAATTTCAGAATACAAAATACCTCCACAAATTTTAAAAAATGTTCCGAAAATAACATAAAATTATACAAAATATACAAATATGGAAGAGAATATGACGCGATGTTATTGTAACCCTAATTTCTGCCTTGACTTTCAATCTCTTCAGTCTCCTTGGAATCTCTGCAAATTTTCTCTTTGATCAATTGAGAACATTCTGTTTGCTGGAAGAAGATGGGTAACATTTGGAAACGGTTCTCTTAATGTCATTTTCAAAACTTACCTCATTCACAAAAAATGCCTCCTCCAGGCAATTTTTGTGCCTATTCAACGAACTAGTGCCACTCAAACTAGTTTTCGACGAAGCCTTTTCAAATTCCCGCCAATCTCCCAACGAACTATCACAGCTCAATTCAGCTCCATGATCACGTATGTTTTTCAGCAGATTATAGTTGCGCGATTGAAAATAGGACTCCTCCTTAAAGCTACCCTGTAATTTTTCCAAACCACCGCCGATTGGTAGATCAATATCATCACTGAAATTCCGTTTTCTATTGGCAACAATCGGGTAATTGGGAGACCTATTTGTGGGAAGAATATGTCATGAATTGTTTAAAGATTTTTAATGAAATACACTTACCTCATGGTATTTGAGATGATGCTTCGTCGCATACCGAAGCAAATTTGTTTGAACATTTCTACGATCCGTTACTATTTGTTATTTTCACAGAAAAAAATAATAAATATTTTTGAAAACAAATAAATACAAATGCTCTCTCACATAGAATTCAGAATAATACTATGTTTAGACGACGATTTTATATTTTGAGGGCTCTTTTTGGGTTGAAATTAAAATGTCCTACCAGGGACAAAATGGAGTAGCTGAGCGTTTGTAAAATGTCCATTTAAAGAAGAGTAATCAAATGTCATATAACTATTTAAAAATGTGGCAAGTCTTCCATTTTTTACAAAATCTGGAGATATTTTAGGAATATAAATAAACATGGTTAAGGGACAGAGGTAGACTAATTTTCTATCGAATATGGAAACTCTTTTCTAATGTACTCGATCTTGTTTTTCGATAAATGTAAATTTTTTGACAGTTGTACGCCCTCATCTAAGGAAGAACCATGGTAGAAGAATACAGGTAGATGCATCAACGCTTGGGAACATTGAAAATTTCAAAATTTGTAAAATGTTTTGACAAAAATAAGTGGATTTTTATACGTTTGGAGCACAATAAAAGGTAAATCGGACGAAGATATATATGGGAGCTATATCCGAATTTGAACTGATCTCGTTTAAATTCATCAAAGGTATTTCTGATCTGTATTTGGTATACAGGTGAGATGAAAGAACTGCAACCAACTTCAGACTACTGTCATTTCTAAGCCACTCGTCGGACAGCTATTAAAATTATTCCAGTGTCAGCTCATTATATTGTTTACAAGCGTACGAAAGCATTTTGGTGAGAATTTTCCAGAACAAAAGTTATTCGTGATGGAATTCAAGCGTGATAGTGTGATTTCTTTATCTTTTGGCTGGAGAACCACAAGTGGCTATCGTTAGAGCACTTCAGGCACCATTTAAATGTGAATAAACCTTTTGTGTCTCGTACCATCGCTCGTTACCATGTTACTGGTAGCGTAGCCCGACTTCAAGGAAGTGGACGGAAGAAAACAGCAACATCAGCAGAAATGGTTCGAAAAGTAAAAAAAGCGACTTGGTCGAATCCCGCATCGCAGTGGCCGAAAAATGGCTTGTGAGCTCAACACATCGCAATATTCCATTCGGCAAATATTGAAAAATGAGCTCGGGGTAAAACCATTGAAATTCCACAAAGTGCAAGAACATACGCCGCAACAGAAAGAAAATAGATTCAAAAAAACTAAAGAGTTGCTTCGCTTGGCCGAAAGTGGTGAACTGCCGAATTTGGTTTTTTCCGATGAGAAGACTTTAAACAAACAAAATGATCGTGTTTACTTGCCAAAGAGATCAGCTGAAAATGTGCACCTTCGGTTGGCCACCAGAACTCAAGCGCCGGCCATGGTGATGGTGTGGGCCACCATAAGCGCTGATGATCGCTCTCCGCTCGTATTAATCGACCGTGGCATCAGAATAAATGTCGAATATTATCGCGAAAATACTCTAGAGGGTGTATTAAAGCCTTCTGCACGCAAACATTTTGTCCGCAGACATTAGACTTTCCAACAGGACTCAGCGCACCACCAAAGAATTGTTGCAAAATGAGGTTCCTCGCTTCATTTCCAGCTCAGAATGGCCACCACAATTTGCGGATACCAATCTGTTGGACTATTGTGTCTAGAGTATTTTTTTCGCCGGGAATGGAGCAGAGCAACATTCGGACAGCTTGTGACGGTTTCCTTGGCCGTTTAAGGCCATAATTGGATTGGGCAATAAATGCGACCTGTACTTTGCTTACAAAAATACATGGACAAACGAACAGACGGACGGACATGCATAAATCGACTCAGAATGTGATTCTATGCAAATCATCAAAAGGAACTTTGGGTCAATATATGTTTATTTTGTCTGTTAAAAAAAAGCACAAAGACATAATAACCTGACCACCTTGTAGATAGCATGGTTGTCTGAGACTACCCGAGTAGTTGTACCACAATAAATAAATTGCAAATTCCAATATCCAACTTTTAAAAATATTTTGGAAGCCATGGCTGTGCGGCATATTAATGTCAAATTATAATGGAAAATGACGACAGGAATTGGTGTACGGAGCTGCACTAATGTCCCTTTATGAAATGTCACAAAATATGCCTATGCCTATCTTTAACGTTTAACATTTATGAAAACTTATTGGCAACCCTAAAATATATTCATTCATTAATGCATTCTATGTGCCGGTAATCATTCACAATAGCATTGAGAATATACAGTCTGCTTGTTCAACGAGTGCATTATTAAATAAGACTGTGCAGCAATTGGGGTATTTGATTCATTATTTCTACAGAAGTACACAAATTAAATACATAAAAAATGTTAAGAATCCTTAGGCGCATTAATGCAATTATAATACCACAACAAATACGGTGAGGAATTTTTCCAAAAAAAAAAAATACTTGAAAATTTGTATCAAATTAGCAAATTAATATTTGCATTTGTGATGTTCTTTTTATAGCATTGTACAACTGTCTAATGGCGGAGGTGGCGGAGGAGCAAGCGGTGGCAAAAGTGGCAGTGGTGGTGCCGGTGGAAAAGGTGGCGCCTCCGCCGCTGAATCCGATGGTAATGTGGACAAAATACAAGCAGCTCGCGAAGAAGAGTTTTTCCGCAAACAACGCAATGAACAATTGAAAAAACTGAAATCGAAGAAACCCATAGAAGGAGAGAAGAAGAAATAGAAATTGAAAGTGAAATTTGTTGATATTTGTACTTATAAGAGTCGAATTGTTTTTGAATGTTTATATTTTGCCAAGTGAAATAAAAAGTTTAAAAAAATGATTTCTACAATTGAAATCATGGTACAATTGAAATCATGGCTGGAGCAATAAACTGTCAAACCGATTTTGGAATTGAAAATGTTGAATGAAAAATTATTTACATTTATAAAATTTGCTAAAAAAACGCATATCATAACAGCCTCCGATCAGCATCATATAGGAAAACAGATACAAATCTACTTGTTATTGATAAAACATTTTAAAATTTTTGACATTTCAATGTTCCCAAGCGTAGATGCATCTACCTGTATTCTTCTACAATGGAACGAACCAAGCACCAGAATTGGTCTATTCCAGAACTGCATTTTTACTACGATAACCGATTTTCCCTTTATGATATTGGGAAAAATTGCAAAACTAGCAGATTCTTGCGGGTTCTGGAACAGACCAAATATTATGGTAGTATTAAAAAGGGTTAACCCATTTTTTTTACAGAAAGAAATCGTTAAAATCAAAATGCTTCTAATTTCGGTAATTAACGAAATTAGTCGCCAAGCAACAGTGCTGTCAACTTTAATTTAGACCTGCCATTAATTTTGCCCTTTAATTTTACAATTACGAAATTGCAACATCATGTAATAATTTGATTGCAATTTGTCTAAATTATACATTTGAAACCATCTCATTTTCAAAAAGTTTATTTGCGAATCCATTTTACATGATTAAATCAGAGATGGGAACCAGTTACCAATTAAGGTAAATTCCAGAAAAAAACAGAGCTGGATATCATTACTCGCAACAAAGTCAAAAGCCATGATTTTTACATTTTTTTAATTTTATTGAATGAAAGCAAAAAATATCGGTAACAGCATACAATTTTAAAACAAGTTTAGATTTGCTCGAATTGGACACATTTAGCACGAATTATGGCCTGCAAACGAGCGGATATTGACCATTGGCTGTTATAGCGCCCCACACCATCACCATGACCGGCGCTTGAGTTCTGGTGGCCAGCCGAATGTGTACATTTTCAGCTGACACCATCATTATGTTTGTTTACAAACTGCTGGACAACGAATGTTTTCTCATCGGAGAAAACCAAATTCGGCAGTTCTCTCCTTTCGGCCAAGCGAAGCAACTCTTTAGCTCTTTTGAGTCTATTTTCTTATTGTTGCGGTGTAAGTTCCTGCACTTTTTGGAATTTCAATTGCCTTACCCCGAGCTCATTGCCGAATGGAACATATCGGAATAATCTTCAGCACACGACCCATTTTTTGGCCACAAGCCGCTTCTTTACTTTATATTTAGGTTGACTTAAGGGCTAAGTACATAAGAAGCTTGAAGTCATGGCTAGGCATATTTTGTGACATTTCACAAAGGGATTACAGAGCCGCACTAAAATCCAGCCGTCGTTTTCCATTATAATTTGACATTAATATGCCTAGCCATGACTTCAAGCTTCTTATGTACTTAGCCCTTAAGTCAACCTAAAACTCCTTTGTTCCTCTACGAAGAAGCCAGCCGAGGACTTAAGCCAGTCAAAAATGCCTTTTATGTATTCCCTCCTTCATCTAGTTTCCGATCTCTGATTTGTGCATATACAATGGATTTACGAATGTGCATTTATTGTCAGAATCATAATTTTGAAGAAAATTGTAAACATTTGAAGCAGGGTACCTTTTTGGTTTTACCAACGGAACATTTTGAGTCTAGATATACATATCACGTGGTACAACAAAAAGGTAAGGTAGAGCTAGCAGCTGATTACAATTTTTTTTCTATGTATGCCCGACTTCTGCCAATTTTGTGTATGTATTTATTGTTTTGAAAAATAAAAACAAAATATTTTCAAAATAAATGATTGGAAGACGCGTACATTGCGGGACAAACATTAAAGCTATTCGCCAGTTTTGCCATGTAGTTGAAGGATCGAACTATTTAGATCATATTTTTAAAGAAAATCCAGGCATTTCATTCATATTACGCGCTGTTTTACTGATTTTAAAAATGATGATTAAAAACAACTTGTTTGCATGAAAATTTGACAGGAAGCAGACGTAGCCTCAGAGCTGTATTTCTGTAGTTTTTCGAATCTGTTCTACCTCCTTATTGTACCATGACATATCAGTACATGTAGATCGTATTTGTAGTCCGATCAAGTTGAAATTAATGATTTTAATGGATTCAGATATAGATAAAGTTCTCAAACACACACAATTCACTCATCTAAAAAAAATCTTGCAGTTTTTTTCTTTCCCTACTAACATTATTTTTGGATTTCGTGACAAAGCACTCACTGTTTTTTTTTTTTTTTTGAAAATAAAATACAACTCGGCAACCCTTACAAGTCATTGCAAACAAAAATAAACAAATGAGTAAACATCGCAAAAGAAACAACCATTCACAATAGGCGACCAAAACACCGACACTCATTCCACTTGAGTTGAGCTGCTGCAACATCCGATTATTTTTGTGAAATTTCTTTGAAAGCAAAACAAATTGCAATTTAATATAAAAGTAGAGAAAATTAGCTCAGAGATTCCAGTATGTTATTGACATTGAGGCGCATCACACAACGTTTATATCCCAAGCAGATACAGTGAGTATTCCATTCCCCGAAATGAAGTTTTCCAACAAATCTAGGTCACAATAACGTTACATAATTCTTGTTAAATTTTGTTTATTTTAGAATTTCGAAAATGTCTCAAATTGGTGAATTGGGCAGCGGTGCCGGTAAAGGTGGCGGCGGTGGTGGTACCATCCGTGAGGCTGGTGGCAGTTTTGGCAAAATGGAAGCCGCTCGTGAAGAGGAATTCTTCTACAAACAACAAAAAGAACAATTGAAGAATTTGAAAACCAAAACAGAAACTGCCAAACCAGAAGAGCAAAAAAAGTGATGAGCGGGAGAGGGATCGAACATTGTATGAGAGAGGGAGAATGGAGAAAGTAGTAATTTGTTAGAGTGACCATTCGAATTTTATTAGTTTTTTTTTAATATTTTCATTAAAAGTTATTGTTCTGTTTAAAGAATATGTTTGGAAATAAATTTTGAAATTAATTATTTAAATTTAAAAAAGTTAAATAGATTTCATATTTTTTGAGAATATGTTAAATAGAACGTTTGCACTGAAGAGGATTTTAATTGTCATTACAATTGGATATACACGTGGTACAATAAATAGGTAGAACAGTTTCGTTAAAATAAAATACTGAAATACAGCCCTCAGGCCGGCCCGCTTCCTGTCGAAATTATTCAAAATTAAATGCAACAAATTATTTTCATTTATTTGATATTTTTCATTTTTGAAATGTGTTAAAATGTTTTACATTCTTGCACTCCTGGAACAGACCAAAAATTTGCAGAAGTCGAGCAAACTTATACCACGTTTATGTTAGATCTTTTTGTTTTGTTAACCTACTTAAAGAGGACTTATTAGAAGTATAACTAATGTATATGACAATTTTAATCCGAATCCAGTGGGCTAACCCATTTATATGTGAACGTAAAACAATTTTAATCAAGTTTTAGGTCTACCTTTACTTTTTATGTCAGTATCAGTACCAGATATATGGTATGTTCCAGAACTGCAGAATGTGAAACTTATTACTGCGACAACCGATTTCCCTTTACGATATCGAAGAAAATTGCAAAACTAGTGGATTCTTGCTGGAACAGAACAATAATCGACCGAAGTATTCCTTTTTAATACTTCATCTAATTCAGGTAAAAAATATATTGGTGTGGGCATAGATTTGGGAACATTTATATCCAATTTTATGCGAAATCATAAATTCCATGTTCATATCAGGTTTCTGGTTGAGAAAAATATGTAGATATGTCAAGTAAAGAATCGCTGACTTGTTTCGCAAGTTATGACAAAATTGTGAACCTTTTTGCTTGATTTTTCAAAATCTTGAACCCTATGTGGGGGAGGTACCGGAAGAAATAGTCCGGTCCCTTCCATCTTTATAACAGATCTTGTGTTGACGGTAATATTGAGATGTACCAAGTCTGAATGGGATCGGATGTTAATTTCGCGCATTGATGTTAATCCTTTGTGAGGAGGTACCAGAAGGAATGTTTCGATCTCTACCATCTTTATAACAGATCATCTGTTGATAGAAATATTGAGATGTTCCAAGTCCGAATGGAATCAGATGTTAATTTCACGTCTTATGAGCTTCATGGGTATATAAAATGTAAATGGGAGGTACCAGACCGATACATCCCATCTTTACGGCAGATCTTGTGATAATAGATCTAATGAGATGTGTGAAATATGAAGAGAATCGAATGTTAATTTATTATTTTGTGAGAGTCATAAGTATTCAAATTTTTGACCCGTTGTATGGGAGGTACCAAAAAGAGTGGCCCGATATACTCCATCTTCACTGCAGATCTTGTGTTAGTAGAAATATTGAGATATGCTGAGTTTGGCTGGTTTGGAAAGATATTTTGGATTTTATTATCATTTTGGTTTTTCAAAAATTTGATGCTTTGTGAGGGAGGTACAAGAAGAAGTGGACCGATATATTCCAATTTCACACCAGACATTGGGTTAATAAAGATATTGTGATGTGTGAAATTCTGAAGACAATCGGACTCTTACTTCGACTCCAAAAGTCCTGAAACGGATTTGGTCCAAAGAGTCCTAGGGTCTAAAACCGTAATTTCGATGAGACACGTTTTGGCTGTATCAAATGATATATACCCTCTGTAGCCATATGGCTAAAAGTATAAAAATATTTAAAGGAAGTGGGAAAAATTAAAGTTATTTTGTTTTTATATTCTTCTAAAAATATAATTTTTTTTTTTTAAATATTCTTTAAAAATCCACATTCATTTCAGAAAAATCAATTAATTAAAAATATATCCTTAAAAAGCCTCGCATTTCCTTTTTTTAAAATACTTTAGAAATTCATAGCCTATTTTTAAAAATTGTTCTTAAAAAAAACAATGTTAATATTTACTTTTACAAAAATTAAAAGACAATTCTTTAAATAGCTTACACCTTAACTTTTTTAAAAAGTATTGTTAAAACTACACATCAATTTTACCAAAAATATTCCTAAAAAATCACTTTAAATTAAAACAAAAAATAATCTTAAGAAGACCCTGACACTTTCTTAGATATATCAGAAAATTTACATTAAGTTTAAAATCAACCTTACTTTTAAAAAAATTCACTCTAATTAACAAAAGTTGTAAAAATGCACTTTAATTCATTTAAGTCCATTTTAATTAAATTCACTTTAATGTTTTTAAATCCAACTTATTTTTTTTTTTTTTTTTGTAATATTTTATGAACTGTATTTTTTAGTTTTCTAAAAATCCATTTTTTTTTTTGTTTTTTATTAGTCTTAAAAAATCCACTTTACTTCTTTTTAACATTCTTTTTACAAATATCCATTAATTATATTCTTATGAAATATCCTAAAAATCCTTGTTTCATGCTCTGATAGTCCTTAAAATGATATTCTTGAAAAACAAAACACAACTCTTCACATCATGACAAGAATTGTGAGATCAGCTGTTATTTGTTTACAATTCTAAGCTGGGCTGTCAAAGTCACCGCCATTACTGAATTTCAAGTTCGACTCAAACTCGAAAAATTGTGCCAAAGATCGCAAAAAAACGCATCAGACGGATGAGAACGAGACCAAGAAGCTCGAGAAGAAGTCAATAAGTAGTAAAAATGACATTATGACAAATCGATAGCTGCGAAATAGTGCCCAAGTTGCCACTACTCTCAAAGGCTACAAAGGAGGCCGAAATTCTAGGTTGGTATTCCAAGCCACTCCATGAGGAGTAGATGCTCTGCTGAAGGATTTTAAAAGAGAAGGTAAGTGCTGGAGGACTTTGAAATATTTATGTTAGTTTTAAAAGCCAGGTCCAGCCACATTAAGAGCCGCGCGCAAGACATGAGCATATCCAAGGGGAACATCACCAAAGTCCTGAATAGCACTTTAAATAACTGAAACATTTTGTTTTTTAATTTTATTGAATGAAGACAGAAAATTCGGAAATAACATCAAATTTTAGATTTCGATAGTTTAGATTCGTTCTAATTGGTGACCTTTGGCACGAATTATGGCCTTCAAACGGCCAATGAAACCGTCACACGCTGCCCGAATGTTGCTTATTCCCGGCGAAAGGCTTGCTTGGGATGATCGACACTTTGGTATATTTTAGTGCCAACCTTGCTTTCCAAAATAATCCAGACACAATAATCCAACGGATTGGTAACCGGAGATTTTGGTGGCCATTGTGCGCTGGAAATGAAGCGGGGAACCTCATTTTGTAAGCATTCATGTGTGGCGCGTGCTGAGTTCGATGATGCTGAGTCCTGTTGGGATTTCTAATGACTGCGGCCAAAATGTTTGCGTGTCCAAGGCTTTAATACACCCTCCAGAATAATTTCCTCGAAAATATTCGGCATTTATTCTGACGGTCGATTAATACGACGGGAAGCGACCATAGGCTGTAATCGCGGCCCGCACCATCACCATGACCGGCGCTTGAGTTCTGGTGGACAACCGAAGGTGCACATTTTCAGCTGACCTCTTTGGCAAGTAAACACGATCATTGTGTTTGTTTACAAACTGCTGGACAACAAATGTTTTCTCATCGGAGAAAATCAAATTCGGCAGTTCACCACTTTCGGCCAAGCGAATCAACTCTTTAGCTCTTTTGAGTCTTTTTTCTTTCTGTTGCGTTGTAAGTTCTTTCACTTTTTTGGAATTTCAATGGCTTCACCCCGAATTGCCGAATGGAATATTGCGATATGTTCAGCTCACGACCCATTTTTCGGCCACAGCGACGCGGGTTTCGATCAAGCCGCTTCTTTAATTTTCGTACCATTTTTGCTGATGTTGCTGTTTTCTTCCGTCCACTTCTTTGACGTTCCTTCCTTTCCATCTCACCTTGTACTCTTTAACGCTTCCCCGAACATGGTAATATTACTTGTGCACTAATCTACTATGAAGAGTTCACCAGTCCTTTGAATTTTGGAATTAACAGAGGACTACATTAATTTTGCGGTCGGAAGTTGAAGCTGATGTATATAATTACTAGCGAAGGAAATCTATAAAAATATAATTCCCTTTCTTACGTTAGGTGCTCGAAGGAGATATGACGCAAATGTCTCAGCATAGAAGACATAAAGGAGGCAGACCTTCTATGTATATAAAACATTGTTTGTCTATAGAAGCTTAATAATTTACCATCTATAAAAAGTAAGCAAAGGCTATAAACGTGCGGGGTCGACCATGTGATACCCTACAACACTACAATATGTTAGAAGCCCCTTTATGTCCAAATCCATTTTGGAAGATTTCGTTTTTGAAATTAAGTCAAGGGGCACTGACAGATATTAGCATTAGCATTTTGACCAAGGTCCACTTTACAGCTAAATATAATTAATCCAGTCCTTAACTCTCTCCTCAGGCGTGTCGATTAACTTCAATTGTGTGATCAGGATTTTCTTTTGTTTTTGGTTCATTTGGTTCAATATTTTGCGATTATCTACAAAAGCAAAAGGCTTCTATTCTGGCTCTAGCCTCACCTCCATTCTAAATTTCGTGAAGATCGGGCCATAATTGCGACCTGTAGAGTGATTACAATTTAACATGGACAGACGGACGGACAGACATTCATAGCTAGGCGAGATCCATACATACTTTCCTAAGTGGGAAACCAATATTTCACATAGTGTTGTAAGGTATATAAACTATAATAAACTCTACTACCAATATTAACATTTTTATTTACTTCGGTCTAAAATTAAAATTATAGATTACCACCTGATCAAACCCCTTGAAGCATTAATGACCATGATCCTTGGCCAAAAATACTAGCACATTTAAAAACCCTACTATAAAATGACATATGTTAAACATAATGATCTGTAAATACCCACCATGAGGTCAGGCGGAAAACAATATTTCCCTTAGATAAGTATAGCAACATAATCTCAACAACAACAACACCATAACAATGTAAAGAGCAAAACAAAAACATATACACTTAGCTGAGAACAAAAAAATTTCCCGAGAACAGCCAAAAACCGGTCTCAACTCGTAAAATGATATTCTGAAATCGATTGAAAATAATAATGTTTTGAGTTTGGCGAACAGCAGTCTATTACTGATAGTCGTTGGGTAAACACATTGCTCGCGGAGAAAAAACACACGCTCGCCAGACAAGTCTCAAATTATTCAAAAAGCATTTCTATAATTATGGCCAAAAATCTATCGAATCCCCTTAAGGTGGCGCTAAGAAGTCGCATGAAAGGTGAAGTTTTGAAAAACATTACACCCGAATCCAGAGCCAAACAGTCAAAGGCCATAACCGAAAAGGTAATTTAATTTCATTGATAATTACTTGTCTTTATCAGCTAATGAAAAATATTTAAAATGTGGTTTTTGGTTCGCTTAGGTTTTGCAAACGGAAGCATTCCGTAACTCACAACGTATAAGCATCTATTTGAGCACCAGCTCAGAGGTGGACACGGGCGAATTGTTGAATGAATGTTTTCGTTTGGAAAAACATGTTTTTGTGCCAACCTATGAGGGTAGCAATATGGAAATGGTACGTCTGAAAAATTTGGAAGATTACAATTCATTGCCGTTAACCAAATGGAATATCAAGCAACCCAGCGCCAAAGAGGGCCGTGAGAATGCTTTGACAAATGGTAAGGAAATGAAAGATTTCAAATGAAGGCGGAAAAAGTAGTAATGTTTTTATAATAATTGAATATTTTGAATATAGGAAGAGGATCTATTCTGGTTATAGAAGACTAGCAGTTGTTCTTTGCCCAGATAAGACCTCTAGCAAGTAGATCTGTAGGTTAACACTAGGTTATCTGCCTTGTAGATGATAATTGGATTTATGTTTGAGAAGAATTCCAGAGTTTCTATTTGCCACCTGCCAAATAGCATATATCTCTTGTTGTATTCAATTGTCTCCCCCGCTTCTTCATCTTAAAATAGTCAACATCCTTCTTAAGCTCAGATATCTGATACTGCAGTGACCACTTAGTAGTATGCCTTGAGCGATCATTTGCTCAGTGCTTTATAAGATATTCCGTCTTTTAAAGACAGTCTTCTGTTTTGAGAGTAGACCACCTAAAATTCCTTTGACTATAGAAGAGCTCTGGGAGGTCTCCTCTTCATATTAGACTTGTGAGAAATCTTCCGTCCGTAAAATATTTCTGGGAAGCCTTCTGCTTTTCTTTCAAGAAAAGGTTTTTTTTTTTGTCTGGGGTATTTTTCTGTCTTGATGATACCTCTAATAGGTCTAGGTTTTTGTCGATCTGGGTTTCCTTTAAGAGAAGACTCCGAGCAAGTTTCCATCCTTGCTCAAGTAAATCTTTAGGATGCTATTTTTTTGTCTAGAGAAGACACATAGAAAGTCTAGGAGGAGTAGATTTTTTTTATCTAAGGAAGACCTTGAGGAAGTCTTTATTCATGAAAAGACTCCGAGCAAGTTTTCCTACCTTTCTTCTTTCAAGATAAAGCCTCAAGAATTTATTCTGCATGGAGAAGACATCTAGATGGTCTTCTGTCTAAAGAACACCTGTTTAGAGAACACCTCCAGGAGGTCCACTTTCTAGAGAGCCTCTCAAGGATACCTTCTCTCTAGAGGACTACTAGAGGAGGTCTTCTCTCTGAAGAATGACTTCTGAAGAATTTTGTCTATGGAAGACCTAAGGCATTTTGTCTATAAAGCCCTCAAGGATTTGTATATTTAAAAATATACAACTGTAAAGACCTTTGAGAGGTCTAGAAAAGAACCTCCAGGATGTTATCGAAGAGGACTTTTTTCTAAAGGCACATCTACGAGATTTTTTGTCTTGAGGGACCTCTTTTAGATATTCTGTCTAGGAATGTATTCTAACTATATAAATGTCACAGGTAACGCCCAGAAGGTGTTTAATATGTTAGACCTCTGGTAGATATTCTGTCTGTACGTAACCTGTAAGAGGTTTTATGTCTATAGAACCCATCATGGAGGTATTGTCCCAAAATACCTTCGTAAAACTTCAATTCAAAGCAGACCTTTTTTTAAGCCCAGAAGTTTTTTTATGTAGTAGAACTCTAGGAGATATTCGGTTTATAGTAAATCTCTAGATTTTATGTCCATAGAAAACCTTCGTAGAACTTCAAATTCGAAGCAGACCTTTTTTACTTCAAATCTAAGGATACCCTTTTTGGGGTCTAATTGATGTATTCTGCCAACGGAAGACCTCTAAGAAGTATAGTGGTATAAGAAGACTTCTTTTATAAGCTCTTCTTTAGTCTTCTGTATCCTCCGTAGGAAACTTCTTTCACTATAACATTTTATTTTGTAATATTAAAAAACCCTCTTTTCAGGACAAGGCATTGATTTGTTCCTTATGCCAGGCGTAGCTTTTACCTTGACCGGTGGCCGAATGGGTCATGGTATGGGCTATTATGATGGCTATCTGAGACGTCACCAAAACACCTATCCGAATAAGAAAACCACTTATATGGCTTTGGCATTTCGCGAACAGATTGTCGACGAGAGCGAATTACCCTTGGACGATCATGATGTAAAAATTCATACAATTATAACAGAATAGAGAAAAAAAAAACAGAGAGCAAAGATTTATGGACGAAGCACTGATTGACCAGTGCCAAATAGACTAACTAAGGATTATCAATTTAGTTTTGATAAGGAATAAAAAGCAATAATAAATGGTGATAACAACCATGACACGAGCAGAGAAATGCACAATGTAATTAATATTTTTTAGAATGACGTTGATAATAAAATAATTTGTTTATTAGTTTGTTTGTATTTTGTTCTATACATACTAAATATGTTTTTGTATTTTGTCTTTGTTTATGCAAAAAAAGCAATATTGTTTTAAAATTGAGTCAATAAAGTAGTAAAGGAAACTAAAATGGAAAACTTTTTTCTTTTTGTTCAGCAAGCTGGAAATGATAATAATTAAAAATAAATTAGAAAACACACACAAAGCTGGCTGGCTCGCTTTAGCGCATATAAGGTCTTGACCTTAGGCCACGACCACGGATACGTCCGGTAAAATGTGAGGTGACATAGTGTGGCTCTCCCGAGGAACCACCACCAAAATGAGAATCACTGGAACGATAATGTGAGGGCGGGCCACTTTCGCTCCATGTCAGCGGTGAATTGGTGCGTATGAGTTTTGTTTTACGATAAGCAGCTGCTGCCGAAATACGAGAGCCACGATTACGGCCCACCCGAGAACCACGCATTAGGGGTGGTATTTTATTGTAGCCTGTGGGACCAGTTGGTTGGGCTCCACATGTCTCCAGAGCCAGAAAATCATCAACATGCAGAGAGGGTGGCCTTGAGGTGTTGGGCGGACGTGAACGGAACAAATCTCCTCTGGATGGTGGTGGCCTTGCATAGCCCCTACCACGCATTGAAGTTACAAAGATTTTCTTTTCTGGTCTTCCAGTGCTGGGTTCTACCTCCACGCGCCGGGTACGGAAACATGGCGCCGTGGGTGTACGTTCACGATTCGACTGCGGCGAGGCAGACAGATGCAATACCCGTTTACAATCTGACGATAGATTACACTCCGGTGTTAGACAGGATTGGGCCAATTCGGTAAGGTCACATGTTACCCGCTCATATTGGGTCTCAAAGTCCTGTGCGGTTAAGTCATCAATGTTAAGGGCCTGTAACCAATAATCGCTAGTCATTTGATAATCATCGCCGTTCAAGGCATCGTAGATGGTAAAAACTGGCCTAGAATCGTACTGGGAAACAATGCTTTCTGTTTGGGGTAAAGTGGGTTCATTGTTCAACTCATTTCCCGAGGCCACAGATTCTTCATCGTTACCCGATGACAAAACCACATCACAGGATGTTAACATTTCCTTTAGCTGCTGCAAATCACTTTTGAGCGAGACATTTACCTCTGTCGACTCACCGCGTTCCAGGAGGACTAACAAACGGTCAATAATAGTTTTCTCCTTTTCTTCTCGATTAAAACCAATTATCATGGCCAATTCCTGGGCTGTCAATTTCAAGGTTCTTGGTGGTATATAGGAATACTGTTGATTCAAATCTTCAATTTGTGTGAGGGAACGCAAAAACAATATCAACGCCTCCACATTGGGATTATAGGCTGTAATGCTTTCATTTACATCTGTTAGCTTCGTCAACCATTCTTGAAATTCCATCTTCTTCTGTTTCAATACCGCACACAAATGATAAAAGGTAATATCATGATCGGTAAGTATGATCATATTCCGTATGCCCAATGCCGATACTTCACCCTGTTTTATATCTGCTTGCATTACATTACTAAAAAGGGCATCGGCAATTTTCGGTATCAACTCTTTGTTGGGCAAAGCTGAGGCTAAATTGAGCAAAGGATTGGTGTTGTTATTGGCCAACACATTCTTGGTGGCAATAAAGGAGATTTCTGTATCCAAAAAACTTTCCAACAGACGATGTACAGATATCTGACATTTTATGCCAATCTCTGAGGGATTTTTAATTAGCAATAATTGTTGAAACAAATCCCATAGTTTTCCCGATAATATGGACAATGTTGAGATCTTCAGGGAGGGATAGACATTTAAGCGGGCATAGAATACCAATAGACGGGATAGCTGAGCCGTTGGCTGTTGGCCTGCCGTGGACCATTCATTGCATAGTAAATCACTGAACGTTTTCGATATCAACAATGTCATGTTGGGTGCCAGGTCTGCCAATTGTAAGCATACACGTGTCAAGAGATCACTTAACTGTGGGAATGATGAGGGAGCCATGGCCTCAATAAGTCTGGCAATTTGTGCGCCCTGTGGATGCAGGTGAGCAGACCAGAGTTTGCGTTCCGTAAGTAAACGTTGGGCTTTTGTTTTAAGTGTCTCTCCAGTTGATGTGGCCTCGGTTTGTGGCAGCGGTACAGGCAGGGGAAGAGGCAACAATTCTGCCAATACAAGTAGTCCTGGAAAAAAAAAATAATGGGTTAGTTAAAATGCGAACAAATGAAGTTCTTGTTTTTGTTTAACGAATGCGAGCGAGAGTAAGACACCAATCAAAATATGTTTTTCATGTTTTGAATATAATTCGCCTTCGTGTCGAGAAATAGGCCAGAAATTTCCCCCAGCAATTAGCCGATATTCTTTCTAAAGAATATTTAAGCAAACCTATAACCGATTTCTCTACATAACCCATGTACCTGGTATAAACGTTGATGGACTGTCAATGTTCTTCAATATCTCCCGGATCATTTGGGTCCACAGCGATTTATGCAAGAGCTCTTCATGCTGCTCATTGGGTTGTGTGTAGGCCAGCAATGTTTGGATGATTTCATGTTTCGACTTTTCCACTTCAGCCGCGGCGGGACTATTACTGGGGAAATAATGCATCAAATAATAGGTCCGCATTAAATGATCGATAGCTGTTAGATCTTTAAACTCCGCATCACGACACTGAATCGCAAATGATAACATTTCACGTAATATTTGCAGTGTCGGCAGAATAATTTGACAACAATGAATACCCTGAATGGTCATCAACGAGGGAGTGTGTAGACCAGGTTGTTCGAAATAAGCACATAATTTTTCCAAAATCTGCAAAAGAGTTTGTATACCATCCGCTGCATAGAATTGCAGGGCAACGTAGCGATGTTTAAGCTCCTCGGTATCGGCAGATTTATAGAGTCTTGAGAAAGGCCCAATAGCCAAGTGTCTCAAAATCCTTAAGCCCATTATTAAATCACCCGGGAATGTGGTTACATATTCCATGGACCGGGTAATGACCTCTACCAGGGGTGTTATGTCATCATATGAAAAGATATTTGTCACCTCTATGGGTTTCAAATAGACAAACAATTCCTGGAGCACCGCCGATACGGAGGGTTCGAATGTCTCATGATTTTTGGCCAATTCCAAAATCCGTTTTCCAAACTCAATTAGGTAATCCAAATTTTCACAATATCTCACACAACAATCCACCATATCCACAGCATAGCTGAGAACGGGACTCTTGTACTTGGCACCAGGACTCGATAGTTGTCTTTGGGCCTGTAAACGTTGTTCCTGCTTTATGAGATCCATGAATACGTGCAACTGATTATTCAGACCAATAACTTCCACGGTATATTGGCGACCATCGGCATTACAGGTTTGCGAATATATGGCATGTAAATGGCCAGCCAATGTCGCAGCATCATAGGGCTCAGCCACAGTTGAGTAGAAAATAATGGCATCAAGATGATAACGTGTCTGCACTTTGTAGGAAAGTTCAATGCCTAATTTAATGAACTGATCTTCATAGGAACGTTTGCAATGTTTTTGGGCCATAACTTGAATTTCTTCATTTTCGGCCAGTTCCATAGCCTCAGGATCATTGCTGGATTTGGGATCTGTGATCTCAGTGCTTGATGTTGGGACAGTTGTATCTGTTGCAGTGACTTCCTTTGATTCTGTGGGAGATTTTTTAACATCTTCCTCTGGTTGGGATTTGGCTTCACCGTCCAAGGGCTTCATTTCAGCATCTTAAAAAGAAAATACAATTTCATATTATTTTTGCATTTCTGCTTACCAATTAAACTCACCTTCTCCCTCTTCCTCCTCTGGTTCGGCAACATCTTCCATATCCTGCGATGGAACATCATCAATTCCCAATAGAATAGCCACCAACATTTGAGTAACCTCAAAACCATCATCAACCAAATAGTCAATACCAATATGGGTCGATAGCAGAGCTTGCAACATATCCAAACTGGCTAAAACCAATGAAGATGGCAGGGCATCACAATTACTCAGCAGCAAAAGCAACGATTCGGCCAAGGTATGATGATTGAAATATGAACGCAAAAAATTGGCAAAACTTCTTTGGGCCGAGGTGTCCAAAGAAATGTCAAATTTCTTTGATACAGGTAAAAATCTTCGCGGCTGTTGATAGGAGAGGCAATTCTCATGCAAAGCATCAATGACTTGGAGCACAGCTGATTCTAAAATATTAAATGGTTCCATGCTGGACGGTTCATAGTTGGTGAGGACAAAAAGATTGGTGCACGTATCCCTTATTGTTGCCAATGCCTCATTTAAATGTAGTTTCTTTATAATGGATTGTAAAAAGTATTTGGTTCGCGTTAACTTTGAGCTATGCAGCAAATCCAAAATTAATTGATAACCATCAACGGCAGGGGAGAGGAAGTATTGAAGTGCCGGTTTAGTGTCCAACAATGCATAGATTGCCTTCAGCAACAGCAACTTAATGGACAATGCCATATACATTTGATGATACAGCAGCAATATGGCTTTAAAGGGATCATAATTAACGGTATTAAGTAAATATTCAAAAAGCGTTGCAGAAGGGGCTAATAGTTCCATTAATCTGGCCCCAGTTTTTATGTGTCTAATCTTAAATGCCGGTTGTGGCTGGGCACAGGCCGCCTCAAAATCCAAAGCGACCAATAATATATTGTAAACCAATTTCAAATTTTCCTGCTTGCCAAAGAGTTCCTTAAAAATATAATCTCGCCTCTTGTAGTCCGAGGAGATATAAGACAATTGATTGATAAATTGTTCACAAAGGAAAACAAATGCCTCCTTTTCTTCGGCCCCGGTACTTGCATCTTTAAATGTCAGCAAGGTATCGCATTTTGTTTGTTGTTCATATTTGCCGAGCAGTGTTTGGAAAACTTCAACATCTTTGTCATATTTTTTTACAAAACTTTCGTTGAGTTTTTGCACAGGTTGGGTATACGGATTAAAGTCAATAATTGCGGGTTTTGCTTGGGCCGCAGCCAATTGAATTTCTTGCTCGAATTCATCAGCCGCCTGGGCCTGGTCATCATTGGTATTCGAATCGTCGTCAGGTTCATCGTCCAATATCTCATCATCACTTAAAATGGGTTCATATTGTTCTACGGGTGTACCGGGAGTTTCCTCTTCTTCAGGCAAGGTGGTTTCTGGGTTTTCATTGCTAGCTGCAACAGCATCCAATGACTCCGACGATCTGCGATTGTAGTTACGTGGCTTCGAAGACTTGTAATGAGCAGCCGCACTAGACTCCTCATCACTGTAGTCCGGGGAACGTGGTCTGGCCGGCGAAACTATGGTAGCTGGTGGAGTGCGTGGCCATTTATGAGACTCTTCGATGTCAGACCGAGAACGTTCAGAACGTTTTCTTCTCGATCTATGGCCATATACCGGACTGCGTGACCAATCTCGCATATTCTTTTCCCTCTCTCGTGTTTCACGTTCCCGATCACGTGAACGTATGTACTCCCTGTCATTGCTTTCTGAATGGCAACGATTACGGGAGGATGTTGGTGATCGTTCCGAGGATCGGGATGATTTCCGTGCCCGTCTTTCAGTTCTTTCCTCACCCGAATCTCGATGATAGTGTTCACCACTTGAAGATAAACCACGGGCACGCATGCCCTCATATTCAATATCTTCACGTTCATGACCATGGGCGGTGACAACGGGCAATTCGCCCGGCAATGGTTCCTTCCACTCTTCTTTCATTTCCTCATCTTGTAAACTGGTGTTTCTTGCCTCACCGCTGAGATTTGGTGCCAGCTCTTCCATATCTTCAGGTTCACATGGTGCCGCCGGGGGACTTGCTATATTTTCCGTCAAGGAATTTGTCAGTATGCCATAAACCGCCAATGTAATGGTATTATACCAACCACGCAATACCAAACCATCGGTGGGAATTTTCTCTTGGGTACATTCCAGATGTATGCAATCGTTTTGATTATACTGCAATTGGCCCAAGTTCTCAAATGTCGATGCACCCGGCATACCCAAATCATTGACAAAGAACTCAATATCGAATTTTGAGGGATTGGTGGCACCCAAGCGAACACCACCCGGGAAGTCTGCCTGCACACGGGCACCAAGCGGAATTATCCGTACTTGTGTGATGAAAACCGGCTTGGGAAATTGTACCAGATCCAAATTGATGTCCTAGTGAAGGGAAAATACAGCAGAAAAGACATTAGTTTGGTGAAAAATTTTACGCTGTTGTATTTCTACGCACCGCATCTGATTCATGGGAAAATGTATCGAAAAACAATAATTCACTAACATCTTCAGTGTCCGTCATTTTGTGGGGTGTTTTTTTACAGTTATAAATGCTATTTTTGCACAATTTATGTATATTTTATGTCAAATTTCTTGTTTTTTTTTCATTAAAAAATATTCACGCAAGCAAAAAGTGACCGACAACAAACTACTCGTGAGATATATGAACGCTACATGCTGTGAGAATTCAAAAACAATAGAGTTGCCAAGGTACAATGATATGAATTATGATTGTATGACGGAATATCGTACAATAAAATGCCGTAATTGATATAGGAAAGTAAGATACATTGCAAATAATGGTAGTGGGATCGGATTCCATTGGAGATTCGGTTACAAGGGGCAATTTACAGGTGGTATGCTATTTATTGGAGTTGCGGATCTTTGGCTATGTATCACATATAGAAGTTCATACCATAACTGTAACAAATTTATTATCTCTTTGCAATTCTCAGCAGTTATTTAACGAGGGGCAGTTCTCTACCATGGTAGAAGAATATAGGTAGAAGCGTCGACACAGCTGCTGGGACAATGAACTGTCAAACCAATTTTGGAATTGAAAATGTCGAATGACGTAGTATAAGAAAACATATAAAACTCTACTTATATTTGAAAAAACTTTTGGATTTTATTGACATATCAATGTTCCCAAGCGTTGATGCATCTACCTGTATTCTTCTGCCATGTTCTCTACCAAGAGTTATATTTCTCTCAACATTTAGACACCTATGATCTACACACGACATATTTTCCAAGCCACTGTGAACCAACGCATAAATAATTATGTTGTGTGAACAAGAAAACAGATGTTTTGCTGTGTTGCCTTTTCCCTCATTCGTCAACAATGGTTCATTTCGGCCGCCTAGTCTAATCGATATTGTTATCGATTGTTTGCCAGCTCTAATAGCAGGTTATTTAATAAATTAAAAGCATTGGAACAGATTTGTTAAATTATTAAATAAAAATGCAAAATTGCAAACAAATCGTAAGCACACTGACAACCTTAAGCGGTCGACGTTCGATTTGTACAACAACACCGCTGGAAGGCAAACGCAACTTCCGTAAATTCTTGGTCTACAACAAACGAGGCACACGAGTGGTAAAGGAAGCACAACGTAAAAATCCCTTGGACTGCCCGGTTCCAATTCACAAGAGAGGTGTTCGTGATACTGGCATTTTTGTTAATGGCAAATATGTGGAAATTCCAGAGAAGATTCCCGAGTTGATTGTACCCGATTTGGAGGGTTGTAAACTGAGACCCTATGTCTCGTACAAGGCACCTGAAGTCATACAATCGGAATTCACAAGTTTAGATCTGTTTAATGCGATTTATTCCAAGAAGATTATCGATGATTTCAAGGAGGGCAAACTCAAAGAAGATCTGTCGCCCGTTGAACCTTCCGAGCATGAAAAGTTGGATCCCGAAGAAGCTTTAATACGTGCCAGAAAGACTGGTTCTGATATTTTCTAAAAAATAAATGTTGTTATATTTTTAAAGAAATTTGGTTGGTTATTGGATTTCGAAAAATGTAGTAAGAGCAAGTAAGAAATCGCATAGTTGAATAAAAGGTCAATGGACAATGAAGGAAACTCTGTATCAGATGCCTGCACTAATAGTATTTATATTTGTTTCTAAGAAGTCTCTGGTGTACAATCAGAAACCGAAATTTTAAACTTCAGCGAAGTTGGTTCGAAATAATCAGAAGAGCGATTTATATACGGGTTTTCGGTCACATATAATAAAACTTAAATATCTATAATATAATCTATGAGTATGTCATCTCTTGCCCTAGCTTAGACAATCATTACTCCTATTAAAAAGCTTTCTGGTCTATATTTCAACACTGTCCATAGTTGTCTTTGAGAAGACCTTCTGAACTACTATGATATGACTTTCAGGTCTTTCATGGCAAGACCTTCTTGTATTTTACGAACAAACATTCTGGCCTTTTGTGATCATACATTTTGGCCTTCCATGAACAGACTTTTTGTTGTTCTATGATCAGTTATTCTGGTGTTCTTTGAGCATATCTCTTGAGTAGACCGTTTGTTCATCAACAAGAGTACCTGCAGGTGTTCCATTACAAGGCATTCTGGTCCTATAAGATCAGAAGAAGGTTTGACCTTTTGCTGTTCTTAAGCAGCGCATCTGGTCTTTTATGAGCAAACCACCAGATCTTCTATGACCAGACCTTTTGGTCTTCTATGCGAAGACCTTTAGGTTTTCTATAAGGACCTTTTGGGCTTTTATGACAAGGCTTTGTGGCATTCAAGAAATTTATATTCTGATCTTCCACGAGCAGATATACTGATTTTCTATGAAGAGACCTTGTGGTATTCTATGAGAAGATTTTCTGGTCTTCTATGAACAGATCTTGCGATATTTTAATATCATATCTTTTGGTATTCAATAAGAAGATCTGCCGTAGAAAGACCTTCTGACATTCTATGAGTAGATCTTCTGGACTATTATGATCAAAGTTTCTGCACTGCTATGCAAAGACATTCTGGCCTTTTTTATGCGCGAACCTTTTGTTCTTTTTTGGTATTCTGTGAGAAGGCCTTCAGGTTTTCTATGAAGAACTTTTAGCCTTTTATGACAAGGCTTTGTGGCATTCTAGGAAAAGATACTCTGATCTTCAACGAGCAGACGTTCTGATCTTGTATGAACCGTCATTGTGGAATTCTATGACAGATATTCTGGTCTTCTGTGGACAGATCTTGCGATTTTCTATGATCATATCTTTTGGTATTCAGCAAGAAGATCTGCTATAGGAAGATCTTCTGGTCTTCTATGGACAGATCTTACGATATTCTAAGATTATATCTTTTGGTATCCTTTTGGCATTCTATGAGTAGACCTCGTTGACTATTATAAGCAGACTTTTTGTATTACTATGCAAAGACGTTTTGGCTTTTTATACGGAGACCATTTGGTCTTCTAAGCGAAGACATTTTGGTCTTCTATCTGAAGAAGACATTCTGGCTTTTTATACGGAGACCTTTTGGTCTTCTATCCGAAGAAGACATTCTGATTTCCAGCAAGAAGATCTTCTGGTATCCTGTGAGTAGACCTTTTAGGCTTCTATGAGTAGATTGTTTGGTCTTCTATGAGTAGACTTTTGGTCTTCTGTGAGAAAACTTTCTGTCCTTCTACGATAAAATTTTCTGGCCTTTAACGAGAGGATTTTCTTGTTTTTAATACGAATTCGTGGTGGTCTTCTATGAGAAGGCCTACTGATTCACTATGAGAAGACCTTGCGGTCTTCGAGAGTTCTTAGTCAAGACTTATATATTTACACATGTATGTACATGCGCCATTAAAGAATTGTTGAAATTTATAGGACAATGCCCCAAAATAAAATCAACAATAATCTCAAGTGAAATACATTTTCCACACATAATTATTCAATTAATGGATATTAAATTTGCATTCAATTTCAATATCATTGTCAATCTGCTATAACAAATTCAATCTGTTGGTCGAATATCTTTTAACAATTTGCCATTATATATTTTTTATTTATGATTTATATTGCTTGCTGTTGTTGTTGTTTTTGTCTTCAAATTCCAATAATTGTTTATATATGTTTTTAATATTCTGTTTTTTATTGGTGTGGTCGATTCATTTTTTTTGTCTAGCAGAGTGTCTGCTGCACAATGAAAACATAGTTGGACAAGGCAAGGTTTAAATAAATCTTAGATTTGGTTAACCCTTAGAAAGTGAAAATTCCGTTAAGGGGAATATGAAGACCAATTTCTATACAAATTAGTCTGAACATAGTAGTGCTCTGGGTCCGATTATAATTAAAATAAATATAAACACTACAATTGTGAATACCCATCAAAGTAGGTTGTATGACTATGAACGATCACTTTCTATAACTTTCCTTTAGCAAATTTAACCATAGATAGAAATCAAAAAAGTAAATTTTACAATAACATAAATTTGTTAAACATTTTTAATCCATTACATTAGAAAAAAATACTTTATTGATGTTCTCCATTATAAAGTCCTTTGTTGTAGAGACCATGATTATAGAGTCCCTTGTTAAAGAGACCATGATTGTATAAACCCTTATTGAAGAGTCCATGATTATATTGGCCTTTGTTGAAAAGTCCATGGTTGTAGAGGCCCTTATTAAAGATTCCATGATTATAGAGACCCTTGTTGAACAGTCCATGATTGTATTGGCCCTTGTTGTTATACTCGGCATTACAATTGGCAGCTATGAAAGCAAGTATGAGACTCAATGTAAACACCTGAAACGAGGGAAGGATTATAACTATTTTAGATATAAGGATTATAACTAGAATTAAATATCCTTACAAATTTAAACATTTTGTTGTTTTTGTTATTTTTCTTTGTTATTGTTGTAATGAGGTTTCAATGTGATTTGATTCTGTGGTGAAAAATTAACCGTTATTTATATTAAAAATGAAATCTGTTGGATGCCAAGGACCATATATGCAAGAACTGACGACATTATCCAGCATTTATTTCATTACATTGGGTGTGGCCTATTAATCGAGTCTCGTCACCATTAAACAACGTTGTTGTGGGTGATTCCTTAGGTTACCAGACGTTATTTTTATTACCGCACAAATGTTTGGAATGTCTGCCTTTATATTTAGTTGGGTAATTATGAATAATTTAACGGAATATGAAATTAACGTTGAATCCCAAATTAGGCAGAGATATTAAAACATGCGTTTTCATTTGTCATGAATATTCTGACTCTGGGATTGTATATATTTTTAATAAATAGAAAACCTAAAGAGGGTCTTCTATGTAGCAGACCTTCTTAATGTCCTCAATTTGTGGAAGAGTTAAAAAAGCTATTTCATCCAGATAAGACCTTAAAATATGTTTTATCATTGCACCCGTATAGAAAGTCTTTTACTTGAATTGAAGACTAAATGAATGATCAGAAGATCGGTAGGGCAATTGAAAAAATACAGTGTGTTGCCGTGGGAAATATTAACCCGGGTTTTCTAAAGTGGATGGAAGGATCTTTGGCTCTATATAGCTGATCCAAAGGTGTCATGAGGAGGCACTCTCTTGGGGTTTCTGATCCACGTATATTTAAATGTATTAAACGATTTTTTTAAGTGTTTCTTACTTGGGCAGGAAACATCCGAAGCTTTCCTTATTTGTATATCCTCCAACATACATAGTGTGGAAGGTATATTTAGTTCGTCATTCCGTTTGTAACTCATCGAAATAATAATTTTAGACCCAACAATGTATATATATTCTTGTTCAGCGTAAAATTTTAAGACGTCCGTCTATCTGTCCATCTGTTGTAATCACGCTATAGTCAAAAATAATAAAATTTTTACATTTTTAGACAAATGCCATTAGCAACAGGTTTAAAAGATTCGCGGAACACATCAAATCTATCTTCCTTTTATTGCTCATATTTTTATTATTTTATTGTAAATTTCCTTTTTATTCATAAAACTTGTGAAATTGGTGCTGGTTCCTTTCGTTTAATTCTTTTAATGGGGGACAAATTGGTTTGTTTTGACAAATCAGCTGATTAGTTGCAAGCTTCTGCAGGAATACCGTCTGTTTACTTTTCGCAATTTCCTTGCAAAAGAGAATAAAACTACCTTACTCTCTCAGAAAGATGTTGCTGGACAATTCCTGCAGGAAAAGTAACCAGACACACCTATTGTAAGCTTACTATAAGGGCTCCAAAAGAAATTTAAAATGTAGCCTATTATACCTCCTGTTATTCTATCATGGCAAATATTTTTCCAGAAATTTACCAAAATACGTCTTTTTCTAAACATAAGTAATGGAAAATTAAAGCTCAAAAAGTCAGTAGATAAAAATAAGGGCTCTTAATTATGGAAATTATGGAATAGATCTCAGAGTGGATCAAAGAATATGGTTGAATATTAAATTATCAATTGTGTATGTTTCGAACTCACATGGATTATTTTTATGTTTCGAACTGCCATCGAACTCACAAGGGTTATTTTTAATTTACCCAAACTAATTATAAAGGCAGACATATCAAATACGTTCTTAAACACAAGCAGTAATAAAAATAACGTTTCTCTCTTGACCGTTTTATGTGGGCGAGACTTATAGAGAGGAGAACCTTAAATGTAATGCAATAATACCAATTATTTATTACTCTCCGTTCCTATGCTGCCTTTACAGAACCATTTTCTTTAATTTTAATATAAATAACAAACACTGTTTGAGATTCGTATCAATTCACAACTAAACTCCATTACAACATCATACAAAGTACCAAAGTACAATACCAGAAAAAATGTTCAAATTTGTAAGGACTTTTCTCTTTATCCAAAGAAACATTTCATGTTAAATATTATATTTTCAGATATTCACCCTCTGTTTCATGGCTGCTTTCATAGCCATCAATTGTGTGGCCGGAGACAACAGTGGTCAATACAATCATGGCCTCTTCAACAAGGGACTCTACAATCATGGACTCTTCAACAAGGGACTCTACAATCATGGCTTGTACAATAAGGGTATCTACAATCATGGTCTCTATAACAAAGGACTCTACAATCATGGTCTCTTTAACAAGGGGCTGTATAATCACGGCCTCTATAATAAAGGACTCTACAATCATGGTCTCTACAACAAAGGACTCTATCATGGAGAAAATTTATAAAACCATATGTGTACAAATATAGATTTAATAAATTCGAAATACCTCACATTTTTACCATTGAAGATTCGTCTTTTATATTTGTTGGGTAAGAGGGCATAGAGGACTTTCTTAAAGCATTTTTTGTATTATAAAACAAGTAAAATTGTATCAGTCGGTTTTGCCGACAGATGTATAACCCCAGCCTTGAGTTATGATTATTCAAACTGTTGACCCCTTATGGGGGAGGTTACGAAGCAGTTGGCCAATATTGATTAATCCGAGCTAAGACTGATATAAGAATTACAACGTGCCAGATTTGGACTATATCGGCTACTTCCTATGCTTTATATAAAATATGTGAACATTTTTTAGAAATATACCTGAGCTAATAGATATAGCGGACCGAAGTATTCCATTTTTATACTTCATCTAATACAGATAAAAATATAGGTATGTCCAAAATTTCAAGGAAATCGAACTTTTTTATTCAATTTTATACGACATCATGAATTTCGATATATAACATACTCATATCAGATATCAGGTAAGGAGAAATGTTTAGATATGGCAAGTTGTAAAGAATCGTCGACTTGTTTCGCAAGTTATGACAGATAAAATATTAACCAGTAAAGAAAGTCCTAAAGTCGGGCGGGGCCGACTTTATGATACCCTACATCGCTTTGCTAATTTAGTGGAGCTGCGCATAACAATTAAAAGTTTTTAGCGGAGAATTCATTCATACACGCTATGATTATAATTATAATTTAAAGTTCAAAGGACTAAATATGCCGGAGCATTTGTATCTTTTAAATTCGGACTTGTATTGTCCATTTGCAAAATTAATTTGAAAACAGATAAAGATATATATGGGAGCTATATCCAAAACTGAACCGATCTCGATAAAATTTGGCAAATATATTTCTGAGCTGTATTTGATATATTTCCCTGAATGTCGTTGTTACGGAGTGCATATTGCGGCTGTGGGTAACAAACTTAACAAATCGGATGAATAGTATATATGGGAGCTATAGCTATATGTGAACCGATCTTCACCAAATTTGGCGTACTACCTTCTAGACTCAATTCGGTCGTGTGTGCCAAATTCCATCCCAAATATTAGACGTTTGGTGCACAATAAAAGGTAAATCGGACGAAGTTATATATGGGAGCTATATCCAAATCTGAACCGATCTGGATAAAATTTAGCAAAGGTATTTCTGAGCTGCATTTGATATATTTCTCCAAATATTGTTGTTACAGAATGCATATTACGGCTGCGGACAACAAAAATGACAAATCGGATAAACAATATATGTGGGTGCTATAGCTATATCTGAACCAATTTCGATCAAATTTGGCATATGTATTTTTAGGTCTAATATGGTTGTATGTGCAAAATTCCATACTATTCGGGCTGATATTACACGTTTGGTGCACAATAAAAGGCAAATCGGACGAAGATATATATGGGAGCTATATCTAAATTTTTACCGATTATTTCCAATTTCAATAGAGTTCCTCCTTGGGCTAAACAACTTCATCTCAATCGGATAATAAATGCGACCTGCATTTTGTTCACAAGAATAAATCAACTCAGAAAGTGATTCTATGGAGATCCTCAAAAGTAACTATGGGCCTATCTCGTTTCCTTCTCCATGTTACAAACAAATGCACAAAGACATAATACCCTTACCACTAGGTGGTGTAGGGTATAAAAATGGTGACCCTTTGTGGGTTGAGTACCAGAGACAAAAAAAAAAAAAAAAACTGCAACCAATTCAGACTGCTGTTATTTCCAAGTCACTCGACAGACAGCTGTTAAAAATAATTCAGTGACAGCCTATTATATTGTTTACAGGCGTACAAACGCATTTTGAGAATTTTCCAGAAAAAAGTTTTTCGTGATGGAATTCAAGCGTGATAGTCTGATTTCTTTATATTTGGCTGGAAAACAACAAGTGCCTATCGTTAGAGCACTCCAGCATTTAAATGTGAATAAATCTTTTGTGTCTCGTACCATCGCTCGTTGCCGTGATACTGGTAGCGTAGAACGACGTCAAGGAAGTGAACGGAAGAAAACAGCAACATCAGCAGAAATGGTTCGAAAAGTAAAGAAGCGAAACCCGCGTCGCAGTGACCGAAAATGGCTCGCAATATTTCATTCGGCAAATATTGAAAAATGAGCTCGGGGTAAAGCCATTAAAATTTCAAAAAGTTCAAGAACTTACACAGCAATAGCTAAAGAGTTACTTCGCTTGGCCGAAAGTGGTAAACTGCCGAATTTGGTTTTCTCCGATGAGAAAACATTCGTTGTCCAGCAAACAAAATGATCGTGTTTACTTGCCAAAGAGGTCAGCTGAAAATGTGCATGTGTTCGGTTGGCCACCAGAACTCAAGCACCGACTATGGTGATGGTATGGGCCGCCATAACAGCCGATGGTCGCTCGCCGCTCTTATTAATCAATCAAGGCATCAGAATAAATGCCGAATATTATCGCGAAAATATTCTGGAGGTTGTATTAAAACCTAGGGCACGCCAACATTTTGGCCGCAGACTTTGGACATTCCAACAGGACTCAGCACCATCGCCACCCAAGAATGGTTACAAAACGAGGTTCCTCGCTTCATTTCCAGCGCACAATGGCCACCAAAATCTCTGGATACCAATCCGTTGGACTATTGGGTCTGGAGTGTTTTGGAAATCAATGTTGCCACAAAAAAATACCAAAGTGTCGATCACCTCAAGCAAGCGCTTCGCCGGGAATGGGACAAAATACCCCAGAGTAACATTCGGGCAGCGTGTGACGGTTTCATTGGGAGTTTGAAGGCCATAATTCGTTCTTAAAAGCACCGAATGTAACCGTATATTATACGACGTGGACCTGCATAGGCAACTTTTGTCATAAGCTATTAAAATATTCAAATGCAAAACTTGAATAAAATCTGTTTATAATGTAGCTTAAATCATCAAAATACCGAATATAGGGGGGCACCGTTATATGGGGGCTATACGAAGACTTGGACCTGCACAGACAATTTTGTGGCATAGGCTGTAGTATCCATTACGAACTTCAAATACAAAATTTGAAATAGTTCCGGTAAATAATGGCTCTTAAATAATCAAAACAGCCAATATCGGGAGGAACCGTTATATGGGAGCTATACGAAGATGTGGACCTGCACAGACAATTTTCTGTCACAGCCTGTAGTATTCATTACGAACTTCAAATACCAAATTTGAAATAGTTCCGGTAAATAATGGCTCTTAAATCATCTGCATATTGGGAGGTACCGTTATATGGGGGCTATACGAAGCTGTGGACCTGCACAGACAATTTTCTGTCACAGCCTGTAGTATTCATTACGAACTTCAAATACCAAATTACGATCTGCCATGTTTGGATCAAATCGGATACTTCCTTCGAGATTTATCGTCCGCATCAGCCATCCAGATAGACAGGCGGACGGACGAACACCACTAGATTGACTCCAAACGTCATGAAACGGATATGGTCCAAAGAGACCTAAGCTCTAAAATCGTTATGTCGATGAGGCACGTTTTCGCCGTATCAAATTATATATTCCTCTGTAGTTGTGTGGCTTAGGGTATAAAAATAGGAATTGCTTTTGCCTTGAGAGTTATTTAGTAGAAAATCGAACTTCAAAATTCTTAACAAAAATTCTACATAGAATTTCTTTTCTATAGAGGATGACTAGTAGGTGTAAGCAAAGGCTACAGTCGGGCGGGGCCGACCGTTGAATACCCTACAACACTATAATAAACGATACAGTTTATATAGGCGAGATGCTCGAAAGAATTTCACAAGATATTGTGACAAATGATAAAAGGAAACCATCAGGTTTCGTTCTCTAATTTTCGAATAATAGCAACTTAAACTAATTTGCTCATTTCCAATTTATTGATAGATGTTGCACTTAAATGGTCTTTCTAGATCTGGAACCAATATTCAACGAAATAGTCAGAAGTGCGTCTTTCCTGTATTTGTGAATTCTCCAAAAAGTCACTGGAATGGACATTTTCGTATTTTGTCTACAAAAGTTGGCAAACTATTTCACACAATGAATATTTTTGGATGGCCATCCAAAACTGCTTGGCTTTTGCAATGTCCGGTAACCCCCATTCAAATATGCGTGAAGATCGGGCGATAATTACGACCAGCTGATAATTTTGCAGTTTTTGGTCCATTTCAACCCCTAAATATATGGCGATCATCTCCTAAAAGAGTAGGCTTCTATTCTGACCCTCATCTTATCCCCATGCAAAATTTCGTAACGATCGGGCTATAAATGCGATCTGTATATGATATCCTGATATCCTAACTACTTAGTTTTGTTAGCTGTAGAAATATTACCAAATGTTTAATTCAAAATGAAAATATGCCAAAAATATGACAAAATTGGAAAAATATGAGAAAATGTTACAAAATCGATATTTTCATCTTTAAAGAGATATTTTTATGCGATTTTTTTAAACGTTTTTTCTTTCCTGCCAAGAGGCCATTCTGAATTAATGAGAACTGTCGAAATCAGTTCAGCCGTTCTCGACATAAAAGAGATCTTTCAAGCATATCTTCTTTGATAGACATATATATCTCACATATTTTGCTATATATCCGATTTGTTGGATGTTAACATCAATGTAAAGATCAGAAGTAACCCTGTCATGGCTTTGTGATTTCGCCGGTATTTAAAATATTCGCGGTTTAATGAAAAATTTCCAATTTTTTCAATACAAAAGATATGGTCTATTTTACCCGCTAAATATAATCTGATGACCACCCAAATTGGTAGGCTTCTTCCCCGCCCTAAACTCTAGCTACATGCAAAATTCCGATTGGTCTATAATTGCGACCTGTATAGCTACTGCAAAATCCGACATTTTTTCAGTATTTGGTCCATTTCAACCCCTAAACATTTGGCGATCATCTCCAAAAGAAATAGGCTTCTATTCTGACATTAACCCCACCTACATTTTAAATTTCGTGAAGATCGGGCCATAATTGCGACCTGTAGAGTGATTACAAATTAACATGGACAGACG